GGTAACAATGACAATCGATGCCACACTGTTATTGAAACGAGGAAAAATCGGCTCCGAGTGAAATAATTCAACTGAAATTTTCAACATATTCCCCTTTCATTATCTGTTTGATTTTTTTAAAGGACAATATTGGTGCCAGTCATTATCTCATATGTGATAGAGCTGGTTAAACACATTCTCTCTATATAACTGACTGATGTGACGAGTGATAACGGATATACGGGCGAATTTCTGCTCACTAATAATTCATTCGAAGACCAAAAGTTGTTGTATGAGATTGTAAGAGGATATCTGACAATTCATAAAAAGAATTGACTGCCACTAGATAAGTGAACAGGAAAGAAAAACAGAAAAAGTCCGTGTATTACCATGTTTTTATAAGATATATAGAGTAAATATAAACAAGGGAATGTACGGACTATTTCTATTTTTATCGTGTTCTCTTATCTAATGACATTCAATTACTTTATTGAATTGTCAGGTATCCTCTTACAGTCCCATATATCAACTTTTGGTCTTCGAAGGAATTATTAGTGAGCAGAAATTCGGCCGTATATCCGTTATCACTCGTCACATCAGTCAGTTATATAGAGAGATGACTCGTGTTTTCCTTTGGCGTTCGTCACTTCCGACTCAGGAAACCTGAAATACTCAGCTATCGTAGCATTGATCTCCGTGTTAAAATTATATTTGGAAGGTGTTTAACCAGCTCTATCACATATGTGATAATGACTGGCACCAATATTGTCCTATAACTATTACAGCGAGAATTGACCGCTCTTTATCTAATCTTACATAATGTCCCTTTAAAGTAAGAGTTTAAAAGTGAAATGTAATTAAAAGCGATTTAGCTTACTACTTATCTACACCGACTGGGCTAAGCTAAGGAGGACAATTATTCGCCCTATTGTGTGCTATGTGTCAGGGACCCCGGTTTTACATACCATCCGCAAAACCAGATCCAGCTTACCATTTATAATGTCAGGAACCTCTTCGATCATGATTAACCAAAATTTCAATGATCATCCACTATACTGGCTCTCTTGTCCGATTGAAGTGTTTACATAATAAACGTGACATGTATAGTTTACGATATGCAATAGTTATAATGTGTCCTTAAATATATCGGGGGTTGGGTGGCCGAATGGTTAGCGCGTGCGCGTTGTATCATTAGGTCTGTCATTGAGTTAACTGACGTGGTTTCGATTCCCCGGTAGTACGTGACAAGGGGTAGGGTGGCCTGTCCAACCTTGCGGGTTTTCATCTGGTCCTCCGGTTTCCTCCCACTGCTAAGGACCCCTACGCGCAAGCGAATTATTCAAATAAAGTTGAACCATATGTTAGTCCCGAGACGACCTAATTTGTGTCTCGAGTGGACGTTAAACCCCATTTCTCTCTCCCCTTAAATATATCAAGGTCTTTTATCACATGAGAGTAAAGAAGTCTTGGTGTTTATTTGCACTATTCGCACAATATCTAATTTTTCACTGCTTAATCTGTACTAATATTTGTGATTGTCGTTTGTTTGTCTATCTGTCTGTTCGGGGTTGGCGACTACACTAGGGCTGTCCCGAGGCTGAAATGTGGTGGTACCTCGGACCGCGGAGTAACATAGGCCGGGTGGCGTTGGACTACTGCTTCCAGTTTCGGAGTTAAACTACTTTCAACTAATGCAGCGCCGGGTCATCCGCTAGTCCTCTCTTAAATGTACCCAGATTGATCATTTAACATTTTATTAAAGATACATTAGTTAAGAGTAATTAATAACATCTGAAGCCTAAAAAAAGACTTGCAATAGGCAGATTTAGCTCTTGCACAATGTATGTTTAAGAAAACAAGTAAAAGACACGGTTTGGATTCGATTGGAATAATAATATTGTAATTGCAGGAGACTTCAAAATCCCTTACAACCAGCGGCTTTAACTGGCAGCTTATCGTTTGACTGCTTGAAAATGTGAGACTGAAGTCTGACGAATGATTGTTTAAACACTTTAGATAAGTTCCAGTGATGACTGATTTTGTGCTTATTTAGTCAATCAGCTGTCGTACACTTTATAGTATAAGGGAATTTGACAAAATACTTTATTCTAACTAGGTCAGTACTTGGATTTTCAACAAAAGGTGATTTAAGGTGCATATTTTTAATCTGATGTATTTTAAAATTTCTTATTGTCATGCCCGAAGTGGTAAAGCACGTTTAAAAGTAGTTATAAAAACTTGTTTATAATTTATTAAAACATTAAAAAGTCAGAAAAAACCATCCAATTCGGGTTTGAAATATAAACATACATATCTTATCTGTCATCTTTGAAATACTTGCAGTCAGCGAGGCTGATTGATGTTACTGTATACGGTAGTTGTCAAAGTCTGCCCAAACCCAATGCACACACTTCTCTTATCCAATAAAGAAAGAAAAGTATAAGGGGGTGAGGGCGAGGTCCCCATACCCCGCGACAATTGATTGGTTGTTTGGGATTCAGGTCAGCCAACTAAGGTAGGCTATATTGGACCAGATTGGACCACATTGAAGTTGTTGTATTCACGGGCTGGAAAAGCGGGAAAAATTTTTGTATAGCAATTGGACTTCCATACCCGAAAACGCCCCTCAAGCGCTTGATCGCCACCCAGATTCGGAATCTACGCAAAAATCCGGTCTAGAAAATCTTGGTCTCATAAATTCACAGCTCGGGTGGCGCGACCCCCCCCCCCCCTTTTCAGCCACCGGACTAAAAGCGGAAAGAAGATACATGCTGAATGCGTCCCCAGTTTAGTGCTCTAATTGATTAATAGCCCCAGGTGTAATTGTGTATATTCATTTTCTATTAGAATAAAAAACGATAACAGTGAAAGAGAACAAATATTTGAATTCATAACCTTTTTTCTACGATGGATGCACACATCGAATTGTCGAGTGACATGCAACAACTTATCCAACAACTTATTAAAGCAATGCATTGTTGAAAGGTTGCGTTCATATATAAAAACCACTAAAGGTTTCAAGTTAATTGTTTGTAAACTGTGGACAGGCTGACCTTATGATCTAAAGCGCGCGCTTTATACCCATGTAAGCACTCTACATATCACAGTTATTGACAATCTGATTATAACACAGATCCAATTTCGTTTCGTTTTTATGGTTCAAAATTTCGATTTTACTTGTCTTTACTACATGTAGTGTAGGCCATCGAAAGTATAAAAAACGAAACGAAATATAGATCTTTATTTTAATTAGATTGAGTTATTGAGATCATTGTTTTAAATCGGATGTAATATTTTAGACTTGTAAGGTAACTTAATTGCTTCATTTTTCCTTCTTGGAGTCCTTGTAAAACACCACATGTCCCAGTGTCATGGTTTTCGTTCTTACTCACCCCGGGTAATTCCTATGGTCATGGGACCGAACTCTATTGGGCGACTCACGGCATATGTTTTAAAGAGAACTGTACGCGGTCCTGTGAATTGTATGAAATAGTTTTCTTCACAAATGGATGAAGATGAGTATAGAATACTGAAACAAATTTGTTATTAAATGTTGGGAAAGTATCATATGCAATATTATAATAATTTCCTTGAAGCCCCTATTTGGCATTTCAGGGACTGTAAAAGGGTTATCAGTCAAGAAATAGTTCAGTTCCGTTCAGTGTTGACAAAGATATATAACCATGCAGATTATAGTATTTATATGTTACAAATTTATATCTAGAATATTTCAGATAATTCTTTAATATCTCTAAAAGCGAAAGTCTTCAAATTGGATTTTGTATGAATTTAAACTCTCAGGACAATAATTATTATTTCAAAAGATTTATTGTGTGTGTTTCATAGGTGACTAGCCAAGGATGAAATTTTAATTTATTATAAACACTTATTGTTTATAAAACTTTAGTAAGTATAGTATAGTAAGTAACTGCCAATAGTACCTGCATTTTAAAAATGTCATTTATGCGATTAATCTATTGATTGCTGTATTCCTTGTATTGTCAATTATCACACCCATGCTTTTTTATGTCAACATTTAAGAGAAAGAAATGGGGTTTAATGTCTACTTGACACAAATGAAGTAATTTCTGGACTAACATATGGTTCAATTTTAATTCAATAATTCGCTTGCGCTAGGGGTCTTTAGCAGTGGGAGGAAACCGAGGACCCGGAGAAAACCAACGAGATTGAACAGTCGACCCTACTCTTTATCACGTATACAACCGGGGAATCGAAACCGCAACCAGGCAATCGAATCCAATCCAGTTGACTCAATTACAGACCTTATAATACAACATTCCAACCCCCTATCAACATTTGATCTCGACAAATGGGTATAAGCAATTCTATATAAATATGTGATTATACATTGATGCATTGATCTTTTAGGTCTCTCCGACTTAGGTACTTAGGTACTAGTCTGTAACCCACGGTCCTGTAAGTGTATGTAGATTGTTATCATTAGATGTTTCCAGAGTTTTAAGATTTGAAGAACCTTTCTTGTAATATATTAAGGATCACCTCAGTCACAAAATGATGAATTGAACATTTCGCAACATTCTACAGACGATATAAATTGGATACGGTCAAAACGGTCGTAAATCAAATCGGCCAACACTCACTATGGTCAAAACGGCCAAATATATGTTCAATATTTATGCAAATATCATTGGATTCGTGATATGAAAAATAAAATTTAATTGGTAGTTTTGTTTAATTATTACCGCCTTGAATCAAGGCCATGGTCGTTTTGACCAAATATTCTGGTCGTTTCGGTCTACGTTCTTTTCGTTTATAGCCAATATTAGTTCAAATCTTTAGACGGACATCTTTTTAATCTCATCAAACCTAAGCCGGGAGATTATTTGCCGTTGTATGTGTATTTTTGAGTATATATTACCGTTGATTAAGCCATGTCAAATTAAATATTGTCGCATAAATGCCAATGACGATCAGTGGCTTCTTTGAAACTCCATACTTTAAGTTTTAATCAATTTTATTCAAAACTTATAAAGGGCAACAGAATCGAACTTGATAATTCCTGCAACCAGAGTTGAACTTGTTCGAGTTACGACAGGATAAACCCAACGAAGGGCTAACATCTACATTTTGGTTAATCCTTCTGAAGTCCATACCGGTACCTACTTCTTGAACTTCAATGGCTGTTGGCCTTTCGCATAATATCGCGGCATGTCTAGTTCTAAGGTCAGCTAATAACTCAAAATCACCATCTAAAGTAGGTTTGTCATCATTGAAGAAACGGGTCCATTGGCCATTCAAACATCTGGGCATTTCTAAAATAAAATATAGCTGATAATAGCGTGTGCAGTGGAGGGGGTGGGTGGGCATGTAGCATGATAGTACGCCAGTCGACTCAATGACAGACTTTATGATACAGCGCGCGCTCACGCTAACCATTCAGCCATCCAACCCCCCGAAACGCATTATGGTACACGATTCGTGTACCAATGGTAAAATGTTTATTTTGTCTTGAATATTGGATATCAGAAGCTCATCTTTTCCCTGTAAGATCACATGACCAATGTTGATTTGATTTGACAAATAATTCGTGTTTTCAATGTCGAAGATTTTTGATGATATTGAGTTAGAGACTTAGCTACTTTAAAATGGTATTTACGTTTTTAAAGGGTGTCTAGCTTAAAGAATATATATATATGCTTACTTCTCATACAACAGAATCTAACCCTGTAATCCTCACATCGTTTACCATTAGGCTGATCATTATTGTTGCAGGTAAAATATGTAAAATCAGCCGCTATCTTTACCACATCACCAGTTGTATCGTATCTACGACCATCAAGGGTTTCAGCCTCTAGAGCTAATGGGTTAGTACAGATGTAATCGTTGGGGTTCTCCTGTCGAATTAAATCGAGACCTTCGAAATCTGAATACATCGTGGGGTCATCTCTGTCGTAGAATTTAGTCCATTCATTACACCTCACAGCTCCAGCTGAACCAAATACAGAAGGAAGTATACACAGCATTTTATCACTCATAACCAATGTATTTTTATTTATATACAAAAATTATCCTTTATTCTTATCGATTTATCTTTAGACAGTATTTCGCATAGAAGGCCGTAAAGATACATTTTTAAAGTTCTAAACTTTCCTATGGCATTAATTAGACATTTATTAATATGACAATAACATAATCAACATAACTAGATTAGAACGGTTCGGCCATTTAATGATATAATTTAAAAATGGAGAAGCGTGGCTAACCATGGTTACGATAATACACAATCAATATCTTGTGAAAACTACAAACAGTGACATATTCAATATATTCATTAACATTATCAATTTTTGAATTATTATATCAAGAACGGCCAGTTCTTTATCTAAATTTTACATAATGTATCTTTAATCTCCATTCTATTCTTGGCTAAGTGAGTAAGACGCTGGCTCGCTAGCTCGGAGGTAGCGTGTTCGATCCCAGCACTGACTGAGAAAGTGCATCGGGATTTTCCGACGTGGTTCCCCTTTGTCAGTGGTGCAGGACAGAAAATCTGACAAGGACAGCTGTCTAGTCGTTCGGATGGCACGAAGTACCATAGGCGTGCACGTAAGATATCCCTTGGCAGTTGGAATTCGATATAAGAGTAGGTCATAGTGCCGCTGACCGGGCAATATTTCCCTCATTGCACACTGTATGGCGTATGCTTGTCTTCATTAGCCCAGCCGGAGAAGAACAGTAGGACGTTAAACCCATTTCCATTTCTGTGGTTTTCAAAGATAGAAAAAAAATCCTATAATCCATTCCAGATTCTACGAATTAATAATAATGAATTGTTTAGCTATCATTTTTGATACGTAAGATTAAACTTTATCATTTTAAACAAAACAAAGCGTTATTTCGTCTAACTGAACACCCCCCAAGTACCCCATTATTGCCTGATCAGTATGGAAAGTTTGTACTCCTGTCCTTTCAGTTTTTTCTGTAGGCAGATGGGAACAGCCTTGCAAAACCCGGCTCTTGGCAAGTGAAAATGGCCATTAAAGCACTATATATACAAAATTACCTTTTGTAAATGTTTTCACTAAAATATAAATGGTTTACCTTCTTGAACGAATGTCAGTAGAGCTAGAATTAAAACACGCATAATCTTTGCCATAACTGTATCTGATACGTATTCGAAACCTGTTAACAGTCGCCTTCCTGTGCCAAGACAATTATCGAGACTTAAAGCTCGTGTTTTTATATTGCGTTTATTTATTTAAGCTATAAATCAATGAGATTATAAAAGCACACATGGTCGTCTTATTTTTTTTGAATATATAGATTTTCCAAATGTTTCTACAACGAATAATATTCCAATATTCCAATAATGCTGAAAGCCGCGGTGGCGCAGTTGGTAACACGTTGGCTCGCTAACCTGGATGTCCCGTGTTCGACATCGGTGTTGGCTGAGATTTTTCGGCGCGGTCTCTCCTTGTCCGATGTGAAGGACGGGGGGTCTAGCAAGGTATGTCGTACGGGGGAGGGGGGGGAGAACAATCGAGGTCCCGTGTACACATTAGCGTGCAGGTAAAATAACTCTTGGCAGTTTGAATTGGAAATAAGAGTAGGCCGCTGTCCGGACAAAATTTCCCTCATAGCACACGTTAAATCCCATTTAATATTCAACAATGCGACGGTGACCCAACAATTATCAATGATATGGACATTTTAACTGAATGACAGACCTTATGATCTAAAGCACACGCGTTAGACCAGTCATTCAAATTTTGGATAAAATGATGTGTAAAACGTGCACATCTATAACCTATCTTTCCTTGTCATTCCCTTTTTTGCATTACTTCGGGCGTTACTGTGATTAGTAGGACTGTTATAGTGTATCTTTGTATATATTTTATTACTATTTAATTTTTAGTCAAAATAGCAATTGACCAATGTCCGAATTGATATCTCACTAATCTTTCAAGTTTTTTAACTGTTTGGGGTTATACATAATATAAGATATTAAGATATATATTACATAATTATAATTAACACACGTTCTTGCTATGTCCATATAAATATCTTCTGTATTTAAACATCTGTTTCCTATGTACAATTTAACATTTCTGATCAAATATTATTATATAATTATTCTAATCCTAAGCTTGTGTATATGTTCTATATTCTACTGTAACTTTAGTCTGGTGACCGGCCCCCCTCTAGCGATACCTATCTCGTTATTGTGACCGTTATCCAGTTTTGGACACTCGTTTATTAAAAGTACAGTTTTAAATATCTATCTGAGTTATCGTAGTTAGTGTTGGAATAAGCTACAACCCCCAGAATACGGCACTTCGGCAGGACCACCAAGCACAGCCTGCGCTTTCGAACAGGCAAGCCCAGAGCCTGCCAATTTATGATACGCTTACAGGTTTGTTCTGTGCGCATCACATTGGTATTTTGCAGATAGTAAGTTTGGGTGTCTCAACTTTCCATATACAAGTATACCAGAATTCTCATATGAGATTATATCTGAGAGCCACTATGGCTAGGTGGGTAAGGCGCTGGCTCGCTAGCCTGGAGGTCGGGTGTGGCGAGAAAGTTCATCCCGATTTTCCGACGTGGTTTTCCCTTGTCAGTGATGCAGGATGGAGGGCCTGACAAAGACAGCTATCTAGTTCTTCGGATGAGACGAAAAACCGAGGTCCCGTGTAAACATAGGAATGCACGTAAAAAATCCCTTGGCAGTTGAAATTCGATAGTGCCGCTGCCCGGGCAAAATTTCCCTCATAGCACACTGTATGGCGTATGCCTGTCTTCATTAGCCCAGTATAGGAGCAGAACAGAAGGACGTTAAACCCCATTTCATTTTATTTCATTTCTGAGATTATATCTTTACAGAGGTATTAAAGGTTTGGAACTAATGACTGGTTGATTTTTTCAGGCTGGATTTGATTTGTTTGCACTGTTTAATCAGTCATGTAAAATAAGAGAGAGAGAGAGAGAGAGAGAGAGAGATGGGATTTAATGTCCACTCGACACAAACTAGATCATTTCGGGACTTACATATGGTTTAATTTTATTTCAATAATACGTTTGCGCGTTGGGGTCTTTAGCAGTGGGAGGAAACCGGAGGACCCGGAGAAAACCCACGAGGTTGGACAGGCGACCCTACTCCTTGTCACGTACAACCGGGGATTCGAAACCACGCCAGTTGACTCAATGACAGGCTTTATGATACAGCGCGCACGTGCTATCCACCCCCCCCCCCCACATGTAAAATAAGACAAAAACATGCCAGCCATAACAGGGAGATGAACATTTTAACTCAAGTGCAAATTGTTAGTGGACTTCAAGTACGTAGGAGAGTCTGGCTAAATATATCATTCAAAATTAATTGCATTTATTCTCTTGGTGGGAGTGGCAACATTACACGAACCAATTTGTATTTTATAAATCGTTTATTACTTGTGTAGTGAAACGTCACTCTCGTGAACGTGGACAACAGAACCTTACTTTATAGTCTCGACACGCCCCATCACTCTGATCTCCGTTAACGCACCAGAACCCTAAGGATGGGCTCAGGTGAACTGTTTCTCTGAATCGACTAAAATCAGACCCTGTGAGAATGTCCTTAACATCAATAGACATCGGGCTCTCACAGATTTGATTGGGATAGACCCTTCTGATATCTTCCAGCTTTTCAAAATCACCATTCCCTGAACTACCGTCAGTATTGTAGTAATTGGTCCATAGGTAGCCTTTTGGACACGAAGGCTTAACTGAAGTAGAAAAACGGACCGGCAATTAGCGAACTTCAAACAAATGTCACATGGTTTGTTGAAGTAATTAAAAACAAAGACTTAATGGTGAGATCTAGGTTTTGTCCTTATGTTGAACTTTTAGTCATCGCCAAACTTCAGATGAAACCTTAAGTCGGTCCCCCCCCCCATATGCTACTACGTGGGACATTTTAGTAAACCCGTGCACGCGACTTAAGCGTCACTAGCGTGTGTTCAGCACCATAGAAGATAGCAGACAGGCCGTAGAGACTTTTGGTCCTGGATATACAAAATCTTCACCCGGTGTCTTGCGGCTGGTCTGCAAGCTACCGAACCCTACGACCAATACGTGTCAAAACACGTACAGTGGGTTGTGGGCGATGTTACTTCTCAAAATACACGTCACACATTTTTTCATACTTATTAGTCAAGACGACATCAAAGACATTTGTTTGACTTACGATGCAAGCAACAGAATCTGACTTTGTAATCTTCACAGGATTCTTTGTCGGGTTGGTCGGCACCATAACATGCAAATTGTGTGAAATCGCTGGCTATTCTGACGACATCATTCGTGTCTTGGTATTTAACGCCAGCAAGAGTTTCAGCTTCTAACGCTGATGGGGCTGTGCAGATATTGTCATTTGGGTTTTCTCGCTTGATTAAATTAAGATCTTCAAAATCGGATGCTCCAGTGGGATCGTCTCTATCATAAAAATTCGTCCACTGATTACATTTTACAGCTTCACCTTAAACAGAGATCAGAAAAGGTTCTACACCGACTGAGTTAATGAAGACGAGTTAAAAGAGATAAAACACAATTAAAATGTCAACCTGCCATGATAATGTGCTATTAGATGTTTTAAAAAACCGGGCCGCCTACTCTGCACGACATCCGTTATCACCGGCATCTAGGTAAACGAAACCTTGGCAACTGGATTTATTTTTATATAAACATTATTTTGTTGAAATTTAGGACTGGACAACAGGCAAAACCAAAATAATCACTCTCTTCTGCCAACTAGGGATTCGATAAAGAACAGCCTGAAAAGTTGAAGTCTGGACAACATATTTCCCACATGGCCCGGTTGTTTTTTTTATAAACAATGTTTTATTTCATTTGAAAATGGATTGGGGGAACAGCCTAGGTCTTTGTTGATTCCTCTCTAGAATGTAGGTCGTACATAAATAAATTTAATTTATATACATAGAGAACATACAAGAAGAACGTATATAGGATACATGCAAAATATAAATTGAAACTAAAAAACAAAAACTAAACATTTATACATATACATATTTATACATATATCCAGTTTCACACAGTTCCGTTAATTTATATTATTTTGTTTTATTTTATTTTATAATACAACAATAGTACAACAAAGCACACGCCTCACATATAACTGACTGGATGATTTGGATTTTTTGAAACGTTTTGACAAATTTAAAAAGTAATAAACCGTATGACCAATAATTAATATGTTATCTCTTGAAACTTCTGCTCAGGTAAACCAACAGATAGTCTACGGACACCCAAATACAGGGAGCATATTAATATGCAATGGTAACAATATTCAAAATGGTGTCCACGAGCGCTGACGGGGCCCGATTGGGTCAGAAAAGTAAGACGTTTAATACCATTTAATTTTAATTTTTAAGACAAGTAGACAATAGTTTGAGTTGCAGAAAACAAAAGAAATTAACACCTCTCTTGGGAGATGGAAGGTATTTAGCTAAAATATCATACCATCATACTGCGAAAGTACCCACCCCCTCCCCCTCCCCCTCCTCAGCAAAACTGGGACATAATTCAAGCATCATAATTGTCTGCCAAAAAAATAATCAGATGTTTGTACCGTCATCGAAGGACCTAACGTCAAGTAGTCAAACAGCTGTAGTTTATAGGGTTCTGATATATGTAAGTTTCCAACAGGCATGATATTTAAACCAATTAATGATTACGAAATAACCCCACTCTCTACTATTCTTATATATATGGTTCTTTTGCAGCGTATCATAATAGGATTAATCCAAATACTTACCTGCCTCGAACGCTATTAGAACGAGTATCAGAACAGCAAAAACCGTCATGACTCAAGTTATCAGTTAATTCAATATGAATCTTTCACCACGCTTTAGCACAGACTGGTTAGCGCTAAGGTATCAATAAGATTATATGAATACCCAAATACAAAGTATTTTACTTATTTTCAGATCGCTTTCACGTTATTATTTAAAAATGTATTTCTCTTAAGCGCATTAAATATGGATCAATATGATTATACATACATAATAAAAACATTTCGTGTGTGTGTGTGTGACATATTATGTGAAACGTGGTTTTCGCAACTGGTCCACTTATGTTAAATTCAGTGAACAGTCACCCATTCAAGCTGCTGTTTCAGATATTATATTTAAAGCGGGGAGTGAATTCAAAATGGTCCAACATGTGCCCTTTGGTGTAAGCATGTTTTATTATATCAGAACAGGAAAAGTTGCAATTCCAATCACAACTTTGGGTTTGGTATATATTTTTGATTTTTACAGATCAACAAAAACAGATTAAACCCTTTATTGAAGCCGTTCTCGTACGAGAGCAGTAGAAATGGACCTTGTTTCTACCTCCCAAATCGTTTTGTTTACTGTTGACACACCACAAACATGAACACCGAAATTCATTTAGCTCTAACGTTGTTTTGCAATGAAATCGAGATATGAAGATTGACAATAATTAAAAAACGAAGTTTAAAGGAGCTAAATCGCTAATATTTTGGGCCCAGAAATTGGCACAAATGGGTCGCAACACATATAATAATGTAGTATGAATTTATATAAACTGTTTTACATTCAATCGTTTCCGTTTTACTGTGAATTGTCATCAGTTATGTTCGGCGAAATACGCCAGAAGTCTCAACCGAAAGACAGTTTCTAGCGTCTGGTTATTCCAGTCAACACCGATAGTATATATTGCGCATGCTCTCCAAATAAGAATATGGCATCACCGTTTGACATATGTCTAGCCTCATTCTTTGAGCACCTTGTTACAAATGGCGCTGAAACGCATTATGGTACACGATTCGTGTAATCGTGTACCAATGGTAAAATGTTTATTTTGTCTTAAATATTGGATATCAGAAGACCATCTTTTCCAGGTAAGACCACAAAACCAATGCTGATCTAAATTAAAAAAAAGTCGTGTTTTCAATGGCGAAGATTTTGGGTGATATTGAGTTACGGACTGGAGGTGATTTACATCTTTCCGCAGAGGCAACAGTAAACGCTGACTGAAACTGTTTGAACTTGGGTAATCAAGAGCTAGTCCATTGGCATACTTATATGCTAGGCAGAGTGCTGTTTAAAAGCTTTAAAAGTCTATTCGAGCACTGCCTGGTAACCAATGAAACGCTTGGAGAACTGACAACGATACGAAGCTATTATTATCACCATTCTTGCTGTGAGATGGGGGGGGGGGGGCAGTGTTTTTTAAATACATAAATAACATTAACGAGGGTATCGAGGACTGAGTCGGTATTGCGAAAAAGTTATTTGAAGTTTAATGTCCCAATTGTATAATTAATTTGGTGATTAAGAACTTTTTAATGAATGTGTGGTAAAAATAAAGAACTTGACCATCATCTAAATATGCTTTGGTACGCAAATATTTAGACAAAAAGCCATGTCTTAGAATATTACCTGCTGTAAAAAATATAGATTGAGACAGGGCATCTCTACAAAATCGTCCAGGTTTTAAAATGGCATCTGAGCCTTTAACTTTTGCAATTCCTATGATATCAATGGAATTAGCACCAGATGTTTCAATAAAGTACTTTTTGGTGTGGTGTTATTTAAAATTGTGTTGATTTATTGATTATGGTTTAAGAAATGAAATAAAATAAGGTTTAGCGTCTTAACTTTCTGCATCATCACAAACCGGGTTATCTTAGTTTAGGTTAACACGAGATCAAACGCCTGAGCGCTTATAATTTAGCTATGAATAAAGTACGTAATTGAATTTAAGTTTTTAGCATCTTAATGTTACATAATGCATCTTAGAGTATGTGGCTCAGTGAGTAAGAATTTGGCTCGCTAGCCTGGAGGTCCCGTGACCGACAAAGTTCGTTGGATTTTCCGGCCTGGTCACCCTGCACGTTTCAAGTCAGTAGCTTGAAGCGTATATATGGTATTAGTGTCAGTGGCTTGTGGCACGAAGTAACAGTATATTGTCGCATACATAATATATTATGTCAACGCTTGGGCGACATAATATATTGTGTTGACGCTCCAAGCGTGTTAGCATATTAGACCTGTAGACTCAGTGGAATGTACGCGTCATCAGAGCGGATCCAGGGGTTGGACCATGGGGACCGGTCCACCCCCTTAACAATAGAAAGTGTCCCTGTAAATAAAAGAGGGCATCCTTATCAGAAAAAGGGCACCTGTGATGTCAGAATTTCAAAAAAGGGCACTTTTCTTTCGGATTAGGGTTAGGGTTAGGGTTAGGGTTAGGACACAGAAAAGAGAGAAAAAACAGAAAAGAAAAAAACAATCGAAACTTACCGATTCCATGATGGAAAATACCGCCAAAATATGTCTCCAAAGCATTCATTGGTTATCAAAGCGCCAATTAAATCTATCGTTGCAAGTTCATGCCTAGTCACCTCCATCCTAGTTCCAAGCGTTGACATAATATATTATATCGCCCAAGCGTTGACATAATATATTATGTATGCGACAATATACTGTTACTTCGTGCCACAGGCCACTGACACTAATACCATATATACGCTTCAAGCTACTGACTTGAAACGTATCGCCTGGCCTGGTTCCTTCTTGTCAGTGGAGCAGGATTGAGGGTTTGGCAAGAGTCAGCATATAGTCGTTCAGATAGGACGATAAACCGTGTACACATTGGCGTGCGCGTAAAACATCCCCTGGCAGCTGAAATTGAATATAAGTGGAGATCCTAGTACTGCTCTACGTACAAAATTGTCCTTATAGCACACTGTATGGCGTATGCCCTTTTTCATTGGCCCAAATCTAAACACAATAGCATAATAATATATGTTATCATTTGTGATCAAATAACACAAACAGATATCGTCTACAGCAGATAAAAAAAGTTAATTTTATCTTTAATAAATTCTATATATTTCAAAAAAAAATATGTTAATTTAATTAATTCTATATGACCCTAATAAAATCATTAATAAATTGCGGTCATATAACACAAGCAGATGTCGTTTACAGCAAAAACATATTAATTTTATCTTTAATTCTATATTTTTCAAATACAAATAACCGTTTGTTGAATTAATCCTATATACTTTTAATGAAATAAACAACCCCACCATATGCATAGTTTTTTTAATTGTGATATCTTATCTGTTCGTTTTGTTAAGGGCGTTTTTTTAAAAATTAAGATTTGTTTTTTACCTTGTGTAAAGCAGCAAAGCGCTTTCCAAGATCTCCCCTTGATGAAATCGCTTGTTGTGTGTCTGTGAGTTGGGTTTAGGGGTCGAGTGGGGAGGGGGTATGAAGGGATAGTCGCACACTCAGTTCATAAATCTACCAAATTCGCCAAAACTATCTGAGTTTTTGTCCCCGACCGGATTGTTATTAAACCAGAAAATACGAAACAAAATAAATTAAACATGAATAGTGTGTGATTTCATGAAAAAGATGTAAGAGTTATTAGGGTTTTTACTCCAAGACAGCTGCATGGCAAAAGCATGGCACATTTTTCGATTTACGTGTACGTTAGTTTTACGTGCGTTTCATGTGTACGTAAGTTGTACGTGTCTTTTAATTGTACGTTAGTTTTACGTGTACGTTAGGTTTACATGTACATTAGTGTTAAATATAGTTTTCTTCCGAATTCACAGTTCTGGATCCTGTGATGAGGGGCCGGGATCCGGGTATTACATATTTATCTAGTTTTTGTCGCGTACAGGTGCGTCTCTCCTCACATTTTCTTCGATTTTGACAGCACAAAATGTCAAATGACAGTCCTGTAGGTCCGGGTAGCCAGGTATTGGTTCGGTTTGATTTCGAAGTTCATTTTTAAAAACCCCGTGAAGGAGACGTTTTTGACATGTACTATTTCGGAGAGAAACGTAACTCTTTGAATAATGTGTGTATTAGGTAGAAGCAATAACCATCTATTAAAGCGTCATTTTTTCATAGACATTGAACGGCCTCTCCATCCGTGGGTGATATCGCAGACAAGGGTTTCCTAGAAAACTTGCCAGAGCCAGTCGTAAATGCTATTCTAGTCTTAGCATACGTTACACAATTTTTACCCCGACCCTTTTTTTGATTAAAGGCACAATTGTGCTTTTCGAGATACAGTATCCAATGGTACTGTTAGAGGGGGTAAATTAAGCCTATACTTATGGCCGCTAGGTTGGTGGCAGGCCGCGTTGCCACCCTAGCTTCGATCTAGAGAGGGTGGATTCCTGTTAAGTTTGTGCCCTGTAACTTCTCAGTCCGAGGTCAGTGATAATAGCGTATTTATAAACTATTATCATGTGACGTACTTTGAAAATTTCGGGATGAGACTTTTGAAGATTTTCGTTAACCCTAAAATAAACTGAAACAAGTCATCTACAAATTGTAATTTTCTCACTAAAACAGATATATAATATGCAGCTATTGCAAAAACTAAATAATAGTGTAATGGGAGTGACAGTAATTTGTAATACAGATAAAACAAATCTAATGAGAGCTAATGTCTTACTGTTCCGTACTATGGTATGAATTATGCTATGGGAGAAATTGTGTCAAAACAGCTACGTTACGGCCAATTCTTATTTTGAATTACAACTTTTCCGGACTATGGGATCCAGGGTGGAAGCAGTGGTCCAGACACAAGGAGCCTACACGTGCTACTGAATTGATACGAATTTATAAGTACATAATGAGGCATTCCTAATAAATTTACAATTAACCTAGTTGACCGACATATTAATTTCTAAATCGACGATTTTACTCAAAAACATCAGGTATACCTCTAGAATTTTGAGAAGTATTATATTCTGCTTCCATTTAATAAGTCTTTGACAGATGTGAAACGGAGTATACCCGCATTGCAAAATAGGATATGGCGGTCATTCAGGACAGATGTCTATTCTCGAAATAGAGAGTTCTCTGTGTGTAGAATATTTAACATTTTTAATCCATGCTTAATGAGCATTGTAGCTCCATTCTAAAAATGACATCTTTTATCAGAGAAACTATCAATTGCCGCGTAAATTCAAATTTATAACCCCTAGATGGCTTTCTTTATTACGCATTGTATGACTCGTGGAGGGTGCTTAACCCTTTTCAATCATGTTTCGTGTGTTTCCTTTATAAGTAAAACTAAAATAGAGTATTGAAGTTATGAGGAGAATTTATGATATCATGCTTAAACATACATTATGCAAGAGCTAAACCTGTCTATTGCAGGTCTTTCTTTAGGCCTGATATGTTATCTAAATTATTAATTAATTAATCAACTCTCGATGTCATCGCTAGCCTGTGATGTTTATTGGATTAGGTTCCGATTTCCTGTTCGACTTCCATCCATAATTTAATCATGAAATTTAATTTAATGATGATCAAGGCTAGGCCGAAAATTCAATCGCTAAAATCTCGGTTCAGCGTGGATCAATTTGACTGAAGGTGTTAACTATTATAGTGAAAACTGTAAGCCAACTCTTTATCTAATCTCCCATAATGTATCTTTAAGATGCGGTTTCAATCTAACTATTTGCCCCTAAGTGTTATTCACCCGCTTATGAACGTAACAAATTCTAGAAATAATACTTAGCCTCGGGTTAATGTTATTTTTGAAAGGGCTTTTCAATTTTACACGCCCCGTCCTCATTAGCTCAGTTGGAGCGGAACCGTAGGACGTTAAACGCCATTTCATTTCATTTCTAATGTACGCCTGTCTCATAGGTAGAGCCATTATGTGACTGTTCAAATAGACCGTCCATAAACAGTATCACTTTGCTTCTAATTAAACTTAACAGTGTACAAACGTGGGCGCTGTTATTCGTTTGGGTTCGGTGATGTTCGGTAATGGGAACCTTACGCGAACGCCAAGCAGAGATGGGCAAATTTATTTGTAGAGACTTGGGAACACATTAACTTTGAAAGAAATTCAATAGTTCGCCGCTATAAAAAATACTATAAATATGGGTATCAAAAACCCAGCAGGTGTGGTTGCTGATTGGTATCATGTCGCGACTTTCGCATTTTGAAGGGGCGAAAACGTAGATCGTTCGTTCGAGTTCTGAAGGTATACAAGCCAAAATGCAAATCGAAAATTAGAAATTAGGAAAAAAAACTCAGGGGCGCTATTATCACTGTGTATTATTTCTTAATTTCTTATTTTCGAGTCGATTTTGGCTTGTATAGGGTGCTGTCGCCTCACATTTTGTCGTAACTTCTTCTTTTCGACTTTCGCGTTCTGAAGGGGTGAAAAGTAGATCGTTCGTTTGCGTTTTGAAGGGGCGAAAAATAGAAATTATGAATGGTAGTTATAGGCTTCCATCGTGAACCCCCTCAAAGCCTTGACTGATAATGATCATTCACCATATCTTTTTTTAACATTAATTACGATTGGTCATATTCAAGGTAATTAATTAATGACAGATTTGTGATGATCATCAATAACGAAGTTAAATTTTGTTGCTATGTCATCAATTTAACGAAACCTTTCAAGGTTTTAGCTAATTTATAATTAGTTTTATCGTACAAGCCATTCCAATGCCCATGACGATTTTTTTTCTTGTACTTGTATGTGCTTGTAAACGTTAAAATAGAACATTTGTGTTTACTTTTGAATCTCTGGCTTGCTGCTAGAGGTTTATGTATTTATTTTCTTCACAACTAAGTTTGATCTTTGAATTGGTCAACCAATTATCGGCGCCTGGTCGTCAAAGACGCACACCCCTTCAATACACCACTAAAATGAAAGGAAAGAAGATATTAAGATCGTTGAATAACTGTAGTATTTCGTGGCTTTTTATTTTAGGCCAATTCATTACACTAATCAAAATAATCACCTTTTCCTATACAAAATGTCAGCTAACTTGGGGAACATTCCCCTCACAGAAGTCATAGTAAATTTTACGGTAGGTAGCAACAGTCAGAAAAATCTGAAATGATATATACAAAGCCTCCATGACTTAATCAGGAATCTTTGTCGTTATTTTAAATCAAATTTTATTGTAATAAAGGGTGTAACAGACATTTTAAAAGACTTTGTGCTAGTTTGACAAACCTTTTGATTTCCACAGGATGTGCCTAGTGCAGCGGGAAAGCTGGCGACACATGTATTTACTACACGAGGATCCCAACAATACATTTTGTAACAAATATCTTCTAATCTAGTGCCAATACTCTAAAAAGGGAAGAACACGTATAATTAAATGTAGCATACAATCTAGTAAATAAAGAGATTAGTTTTCTAATTTAACTGCGCCCACTGATGGGTTAATAGGCGTCTTAATTGTCTTTAAAGGATGCTGGCTCGCTAGCCTGGAGGTCGGGTGTTCGATCCCTGCATTGACCGTGAAAGTTCATCCAGATTTTCCGGCGTGGTTCCCCCTTGTCAGTGATGCTGTCTAGTCGTTCGGATGGGACGGAAAACCGAGGTCCCGTGTACACATTGGCGTGTACGTAAAAGATCTCTTGACAGTTGGAATTCGATATAACAGTAGGCCGCAGTGCCGCTGTCTGGGGAAAATTTCCCTCATAGCTCACTGTATGGCGTATGCCCGTCTTCATTAGCCCAGTTCGGATCAGAACAGTAGGACGTTAAACCCCATTTCATTTCATTTCATTTCTTTAAAGGATGAACGACTTGTAACTTTAGGAGTTTCGCCAGGTTGTAGTGGATTCAAAAGCGGCGAATTAGTCGTCTCCAGAAAACAGAATGCCATTCTAGGGGTATTTAACACGTTATCAATTCAGGCCAATTCATTACACTAATCGAAATTATCCCCTTTTCCTATACATAATATCAGCTAACCCGCTTCGAAAATCCTTTCATAGATTTAAAACCAAATATTTATTAGTCTTAACTCACCAAACAAAAGTTCGTACCAAACAAATCTTTGCATTGTTGAGTTGTATTATAAATCTGACCAGGAAGATTTGTTGTAAACTTCTGAAAATTATCAATTACAGTAGGTGGGTCTTTAATACACGACGCATCAGGTTTCCTAAAACAAAAATTGAAAATAGTGTGTTTTGAAATAAAATTGAATCCTTATAAGTTAGTCCCTAATCCCCCCCCCCCCCCCCGCCCTCTCCGTTCGAATCCGAATATGCCTTAAATGCATCATATGGTAGTCCTGGTTCAGTCCCGTAAATTAGTTTGTTTAGAAATTATTTTCGGGCATCAAGCAGGTAAAAGAGTAACACAGAACATAGATGAGTTTTTTTTCCATTTGGGTTTTGGAATGGATAATCATCAGCTCATGGGGCCTTCTTGAAGTCAACTAACTAAAAATAATAATATATAGTTCGATGAAATGTCTTTTTTTTACGATTGGATTTGCTTGTAGTTTTGACTTACTGTTGACAGAAAGGGTGTATGTAGACTATTTTATATGTTCTTGTTGATGTACTTAGGTAGAATAAGATTATTATACAAGATTTAATCGGAATAACGTGTGTACTTACATGAGATTTTGTTTTATGGAATTAACAGAACACTGTGAAAAATAAAACCCATTTCTTGATAGAGGTGATTTAACTGACATGATATATTCATCCGCCGAACTACATCGTGTAGAACGATAGAAACCGTCATGATCACAACCTAGACTAAAAAAAATCAAAGTCTAAATTCACAAAGATAATAAAATGTTTAAATTATTCCAAGGACATATTTCCTGTTATATTAAAGGTTAAACATAAAATCATATAAGTGGAAAAAAAGAACTGAACATTGATCTGAGAGAGAGAGAGAGAGAAATGGGGTTTAACGTCCACTCGACACAAACTAGGTCATTTCGGGACTAACACATGGTTTAATTTTATTTACATAATTCGCTTGCGCGTAGGGGTCTTTAGCAGTGGGAGGAAACCGGAGGCCCCGGAGAAAACCCCCGAGGTTGGACAGGCGACCCTACTCCTTGCCACGTACAACCGGGGATTCGAAACCACGCCAGTCGACTCAATGACAGCATTTATGTTACAGCGCGCGCACGCTAACCATTCAGCCATCCAACCCCCCTACATTGATCTGATATCAGTGGTGGTTTTGAAAATATCGGATAGTAAATTGTTGATATCTTCTTTGAATGGCATTTAGTAATTGAACATATTAACACAAGGTACACTTTTATGGATACACAATTACTGAGTTTAATACTAAGCGACAATTTTCTTGATAAAGACGAAGGGTATCACCGTCGAAACGTCGCTTAGTATTAAACTCAGTAATTGTGTATCCATGAAATTGTACCTTGTGTTGTTGATATCTTGTTTAACAAATTTAAGGTTTGTTTTGACAATCAACTACAATGCGGTACATGTAATTAATTATTATTTACATCACGTTGATTTACATTATTTCGATATTCTACCCCCTCTCTGGTGTTGATGACACACACATGTACCCACAAAAAAGCGAAATGAAATGGGGCTTAACGTCCTAATGTTCAGCTCCGACCTGGGCCACACGCCACACAGTGTGCTATGAGGAAAATTTGGCCCGGACAGCGGCACTACGGTCTACTCTTATATTCAATTCCAACTGTCAAGGAATCTTTTACGTTGGACGCCAATGTGTACAGGGACCTCGGTCTTTTGTCCCATCCGAACAACTAGACAGCTGTCCTTGTCAGGCCCTCCGTCCTGCATCACTGACAAGGGGGAACCACGTCGGAAACCACAAAAAAACACGGCCAAATTAAAAACTCACCAATGCGCCAGTTCATGGACTATTGTACCAACGCAGCTATAACCTCCGTGATCATCTACTAAAGATGACGATTTACCATCTTTTATTGAACAAATCTTGTTGACATTGGATAAACCTAAAAACCAAGTACTATATAGTGGCTGTCGAAAGTACCAGTGGAAAAAGCCAAATTTGGAATAAACTTTTGAAACGGATTTCTCCCAAATCATTTAGATACACATTTACACCTCATAACAAAAGACATACAAAATAATTTGAAAAATAAACCCCCACAAAAAATAATTAATAATCTAACACATAAAATGAATGCGCGTTATTAATTTTATATCGTTATAATTTATTTTACCATTTAATGGGTTGTTACTGTGTACCATCTGTAATCTGAAATAAATAAACACACACGTGGTATAAACATTCCACCACAAGACTCGCAAACACAACATTTACTGACCCTGATCATTGGAACTGATTATGTATTTTGCAGATAGCTTACACTAGGATTGCCCCTATTCTAGGTCCCGACTGTCGTACGTACAATAGGGTTGTCCATATTGAGTCCACGATCTGGTACGTGCAGATACTTTCGGATACATTTCGATACGGTCAACACGATTGCCACAACTGACCAAGATTACTTAACAATTAAAACTACGATTCCTCCAATCGCAGCACGAATCGTGATATTGGGAACATAACATTAGCCAAGATATAAAATGTCATTCGAAAATCCCGAAAATGACGCAAATTATTATGGGATTGGTGCCATCATGCTTGAAATAATATCAAACTGCTTACATCTTATTAAAGAATGGCGGTAAATGTGACTCTAAAACAGACTCTCGCAAGAGATCAAATTAATCCAAGTATCGCCCCTAAAAACACCTACAAGAATAACAAAATAGAGAAAAAAAAATAATCTCCGGGGATTCAGGGAGATCTTGAGTACCATACACCATGGGCGATGCGCAGTTCGGTAGAATTTATTAATAGTATAATATACCTAGTTAGAGCCATAGCGTGGTCGTATTTAAACCTAAGTTTTAACTTGTTATACTGTTGGACAAGTTCACTAGAAAAGGCATTTAAACCAACATCATCTTCAACTTTTCCCTCGTGATTAATGTTTTCAAGAAAACTAGAACAATTTCGTGTCTGAAAAAAACAAAACAAAAAGAAATCAAAAATATTCACCGGATGCCGACCCACTGATCGGGATTCACCAGATTATATATATTTGCCACCTGAGGGATCACGTGGCTAAGTGGGTAAGACGCTAGCTCGCTAGCCTGGAGGTCGGGTGTTCGATCCCTGCATTGGCGTAGAAAGTTCATCCAGATTTTCCGGCGTGGTTACCCCTTGTCAGTGATGCAGGACGGAGGGCCTGACAAGGACAGCTGTCTAGTCCTTCGGATGAGACGAAAAACCGAGGTCCCGTGTATACATTAGAATGCACGTAAAAGATCCCTTGGCAGTTGGAATTCGATATAAGAGTGGGCAATAGTGCCGCTGTCCGGTCAAAATTTCCCTCAAAGCACATTGTATGGCGTATGCACGTCTTCATTAGCCCAGCATAGGAGCAGAACAGTAGGACGTTAAACCCCATTTCATTTCATTTCATTTCATGGAACTGCTAAAGCTCCAAATGGAAATAGTTGTTTTTAATACTTAATGTATCTAGAGCGCGTATAAAAATGTACCTTTCCATGTTATCGAACGGTAAAACAGTCGAAATTTAGTTGCTCATCACAACTGGACAAATGTCAGGAGTGAACTTTTTAGAAAAAAACTCAATGATGTCGCCTCCATAGCGAGGAGAATGTTACCGATCAGTGGGTTGCCCACTAAATCTTATTCAAACTGTAAATGTGGAGATGTAATGTCAGTGTTCTTCTCATCACAAATCTTGAAGGTATTTTTGCGGTCCACACTGGGACTTTCAAGGACCTCAACCGTACGACTATCTGGGTACCAATAAACAAAGGAGAATACATGATTACCTTACATATAATAAGACCAGATAACGACAATGATAGTTGAAGAGATTTGTCACGAATTCCTGCTTTATACCTTCTATCAGCCTGATAATAAAGATAATAAAGCATTATAACATACAGATAGATAATAATGCATATATTATATATAGATAGAAGCATAGACCAAAAATACACCCTCTGGTAACTCTGTAATCCAACCTGTTCGTGAAATTGGTAGACTGAAATGGTATCTTAAAAAAGCATTTTAAAGCAAAATCCTCCAGCGTATTTATAAAGTTTTATAACCATAAATATATATTACCGGGGGTTTGTTTGAGTGTTCACAAGAAGCTACAGATTGATAAAGGGCAAAAACTCCAGACATTATCTTTATCTCTCTCATGTTAACGAGACTGGGTGATATTTATAGAATGCGCACACTATGTTGTGGACAGGGGCGTAGGCAATTAGGATATTTCTATGTGGGCTCATAAAAACAATTTCGCTTTTAGCACGTTTACAATGTTTAGATGTCAGGGATAATAACTGTATGAAAAATTAAAGTGTGACTTTCAAAGAGTTCGGCTCTATGACTTTTATCGTTAGCGGAACAAAGCCAATGAGTTTCCCCCAAAAATAAATTAAATTAATCTTACCGCATTTATGACAACGGCCACATATTTTGTCATCTCATGTTCTATGTCAGCAGACGTCGGATAATGTTCTTTAAATGATTTATACATGGCATAATCTGTCCAAATTAATATTTCCACTTTACCTATGACGCTGCCAGAAATTGGTGCCACATTTCTAACGGAACGCTTCAATATATCTGAAAAATTGACGTTTATTCTATTAATTTTAAGCTGATTAAATCTGTGATAAATATTAGCCTTGATTATGCACAAAGTCTGTTGAATTTAATATTTTAAATTAGTATGTAAGCCTACCTATCGGCCATAATGACTTTGCTTCTTGAGACTTCGTTTGTTGATGAAAATGGTTTCTTCGTATTATTGCATGTAACCCGTTCTCACTGTTTGGAATCGTTTCAATAATAAAGTCAGCGTCGTAATCATGAATAACACCCTCCTAGAAAAAATAACAAATTGGTACAAATTCACTGCCAAACTGTCGTTGATGTTGGTTGTTTACTTGTAGTTACATGATTACTTTCAGGTGTTGCACAGAACGGAAGTAAAATAAAATTGAGTTGCACACCAATCGGGCTAATGAAGACAGCCTATGCCATGCATTTGGCTATGAGGACGTTTTGCTCTCACAGAGGCCCCACGCCCGACTGGCATAGATCTAAAACGTGTGGTCATGAAATAGAGGGGAGTTGCGTTTTGTTTTAATTTCATACGAACCACTCGGCATTCATAGGCTCTCCGTCTTGTACCGCCTACAAATCGTAAACTAAGCTGGAAAAACCACAGGAATTTTTGTTTCAAGGGAAACTACTCTTTCTTGCTGTGCTTAATTGCCCGCGTGGTTGGTTGTTTTATTATTCACTGTTGTCAAAGGAAACATGCAATATCAGTACTCACGATGATGAAGTTGGTAGAATTCTTCCAGATTCCGAAAGAACCATCTAAATAAATGTCATGGTAAAACCTTATGCCGTGCTTTAAAAGAAGGTAAAATCACTACATATTAGTTGTGAACATCCATAAAGAATAGACCTGCCAGGCCCCATGTTTGAAAACCGATATAAGCTTTACACTTTGTTTCTTTTTGGGGGTCAAATATCTAGACTTTCGTTGATAAACACAAAATCATAATATGGAACACAATTATTATTTTAATTGAAGCGACGTTTCGTTGAGGGTTCTCTCGACTTTTTGAAGCAAATGACAGTGAATAATATACAGACGATTTATATACAAAAACAAGTTAAGTAACAATTAATAACCAATAATCAATAGGGAAACCATTAAAGATAAATTATAGGAGATTAGATAAAGAGCTGGTAGTTCTCACTATAATAGTATTTAGCGATTGAATTTTGGGCTTAGCCTCCATCATCATTAATAAAGTCGGTATGATAAAAAAGTCTCGATTATCCACTTTTGATTTAATCAGAAGCAGCAGACCGGGTTCTAATCCATTTAATAACGCAGGCTAGCGATGACGTCGAGAGTTGATTATGGTCTGGATATGTTAATTAATGTCTAATTAATAATTTAGATAACATTTCAGACCTAAAGAAAGACCTGCAATTGGCAGACTTAGCTCTTGCATAATGTATGTTTAAAAGTACTGAGTGAAGTCGTTCCAAGTAGCATGCGGTGTGAATTATCACTCGATATCCCTTTTCTGTCTGTCATTAACATTACTCAATGAATACAGTTGGTTGTAAAAATAATTATTGTACTAAAACCTGTAACAAATTAGCCATGGTATGTCTATCTCCGGTTTCATCTTGCACTAGGACAGGTAAACCATATTCACCATATGAAGATACTATACCATTGTTATCTACCAGGTTCAGCTTATACTCACGACCAAAGGCACGGAATTCGTACCTTATAAGCCCAAACTTACTATCCGATTGTAATGGTCTGATGTTAACTAGTTCTCGGTTTGTTGAATCTAAAAAAACACAAGAGTGGCGATTGGGTTAAGAACAGTACAATAGCTTCACTTTCAGGTTAACATTCATATGGAGAAGGGGAACTGGATTGGATCTAAACCCGGATTAAAATTCGTCCAGATTCGTATGAATAATGAAGATAAATATTTGTGTAATCTGGGAAACAGACGATTTTCTTTTACCAACTATGACGGGGGATCTGAGTCAAATGTCAATGTTATGTTTTCGTGATTGTACATATCCAATGCTGAATATAACGACGAGACATCTGTCCTTGTCAGGCGCGACGTTTTGCAACACCGACAAGGAGAAGCCACGCCGGAAAATCCTGCTGAACCTTCTCGGCCAACACCGGGATCGAACGTCTTACTCACTTAGCCATCGTGGCTCCCCATTAACACTACATTAAAAAATATGGTTTATATGGTTTAGCTTGGTTTCATGTTCTATGTAAAATGTTACAATGCAAAAGACAAATGTTAAAGTAGAAAAGTCTAATGTGAAAAGTTGAATGACAAAAGATAGATGTCAAAAATGCAATGTGAAAGCGAAAATTTTAAATAAATTAAGTTTTTCTTAAATTGGTTATATCACGAAATGAATTATACTTAGAACAAATGTAATTTATCAAAAAGTCAAGATGTAATAATAGTGCTATTTCGATTTGCACAGACAACCTCGCCCCCCCCCCCCCCCAAAAAAAAAACAACCAAACTTTGTATTTGTCAGTATTACAATTTTTGTTTTACAATTTACACGTTACAGTTAGCATTTGCAGCATTAGAGATGTAAAAACACTAACAACAGAGCATGCTGACTTTTGACTCAAATCTTCCATCATAACCAACAGGCTATATATCATTCAATATATCGAGGGTTTAGAACATAATTGTGATAAGTCACAATGCTTGATATATTGACTTATCACAATTATGTTCTAAACCCTCGATATCGAAGGTTGTAAAACCTGAAAATGCTGTAGGTGTCTTCACGTCTCGTTCATGTATGATAGTGGATACGCTGACAACAGCCACAGACAGCAACACACTCTGAAAATATCAAACACGAAATATAATTCAAAGTTACACGTGGTCTTAACTACAGCTTTCTGTTCCTAATTATAAAAATCCATTATGTAAGATTTAGATAAAGAGCTGGTCGTTCTTGCTACATTAATTCAATTAAGGATAATACAAAACGAATATATTGAAAATTCCATTCAAATTACTTTATTCTGAGCGAAGTTATCACTGTTAAAAGTTTTGACAAGATCTGGCATAGACTGCATGTTATCGTAGCACCGGTACTTGTTATATGAAACTTAGCCTCGCTTCGCCATTTTTCAATTAAATCGTTATATAGCTTTGTAAGCCAAAATAAAGACCTGCAATAGGCAGCCACGGTGGCTAGTTGGGTAAGGCGCTGGCTCGCTAGCCTGGAGGTCGGGTGTTCGATCCCTGCATTGGCCGAGAAAGTTCATCCCGATTTTCCGACGTGGTTTCCCCTTGTCAGTGATGCAGGACGGAGGGCCTGACAAGGACAGCTGTCTAGTCCTTCGGATGAGACGAAAAAACCGAGGTCCCGTGTAAACATTGGAATGCACGTAAAAGATCCCTTGGCAGTTGGAATTCGATATAAGAGTAGGCGATAGTGCCGCTGCCCGGGCAAAATTTCCCTCATAGCACACTGTATGGCGTATGCCCGTCTTCATTAGCCCATTATAGGAGCAGAACAGTAGGACGTTAAACCCCATTTCATTTCATTTCATTTTGCAATAGGCAGCTTTAGCTCTTACATCTTTAAGTGTTAATATAAATTTATAGTCTATGTCATATTTCCTGTAACATTGTAAACTCTGAATAGAATGACCTATTTTAAAATCATAGTAAATTCTGAATAGAATGACCTATTTTAAAACAAGATATAGTGTAATATACTAGTATCAAGTAATCTGGTGGAAACTCATTTCAAACTGCGAATTTTAATTCTAGTGAACATTATCAACAGACTAATATGCTGTCTAATAAAATCTTTAATTTTATATTAAAATGTATTGCTGAGTTCCATAAACAGATATTCGACTTACCCAGAAATAGAAGATATCCATTGTCAAATATATTAACTGATAAGAAATGGAAGGCCAATCGGTCTTAGAAGTAAGTGTTTATCAGCAGTGTGCTGGATTTTACTTTCGTTCATGGTGTATTAAACATATATTATAATATAATATTACGTGGATTAAATGTAAAGTAAACACAACGAAAATTTATATGGAATTAAATCACTAGATGTTATTTACATGGTTCGATGTCTCGACTAGCACAGTATAAACCCACTTTAATCTATCATAGAATTAGCCAAAATCGGTATTACAGGGGCGGATCTAGGAATTTTGAAAAAAAGGGGGGGGGGCCGCAAAATGAGGGCACTGACCTCAGAGACGGGGCACGCCGCTGCGAGGGGGGTCCCCTCCAAGAAAATTATCCGTCATTTCCTTGCATCTGTAGCCATTCCAAGAGCTATTTGGCCGATATTTTCGTCTAAGTAAACGTTCGGAATTCGTTGAAAAAGAGCCTTAAAATCGAGCAAAAAAGCCAGTTGAACATGCGACTTGAAAATTGTCAAGGTGAGCGAGGCATTATGAAGGGTAAAAAGACGAATCTATACCCTAGCCACTTCACTGTTTAAGCCTTGTAACTTGTACTGTGTACTGTCCACACATGAAACAACACTACATCAAGTTGCACTCATGCGCGTCAGTGATGGGCATGAGTGTATACGCCGCTGATTCCACAAGATGCTATCATTGATGTCTGTCTATAGTCACTCTATAGGATTAGGGCACCGTCAGCTAAACAATAAGAATTCGTTTGAAAGTGGAAGCATTAAATAGACCAGACTGGTGTGTTTGAGTCGATGGTTTGAGTCATTTGGGATCCCTGCAACGGGCTGGGAACGGACATATTTGGGTTGGGTCTGAGAAAAGGCACTTTCAGCAGTAAAAAGGGCAATGTCGAAAATTAGGGGATCCGCCTCTGTATTATTTTCTATAAGCTATACACAGTAATTCACATTTCCATAATCGCATTAAATCATATTAGAGAGGGGCGGCGGCTCCGGGTATTTATTTTAAAGGTGAGTCCAATCAAAGAGTGAAATTAAATTTATCTTAAATTTGAAGTTATCGCTATTAACTTCGCCGCTGTACTATCAGAAGCGGATTTAAAGGCGGGAGAAATCGCAAACCGAAGCGGAGTAAACTTCTGCATGAAAGTTCGCAGAAATGTAAAAGTTTGCATGATTTCTTTTCCATAAAACAGCCGATGGGAGGCTGTGAAACAGATCCCCCGAATTAGAAAATATTATAAAATACTGCGGCGAATATCCTGATTTAGAAATTTACCCCCAATGTAGACACGTCAGTGGAAGACACAATTGTGTTGTCCTCACACGGGAGCCCTTCACAGTTTGCTTCTACAAGTACAAGTGCACCAAACAGAAACGCCTAAACATGTGTGCATTGGGCGTTACGTAGGCGCTTGAGAAAAGAGGGGGGCACTTCCGTTTAAGCTACTTGATAATCCATGGATACCCCCAGAGGATTCGAAATGTCGTTTACAATCAGGGGCCATAATCAATGAAGTTATGGTCCGATATATGCCAATATCGAAAGGAACCGAGATCGTTGGGAGCTAGACCTATATTTTAAGTTTCGGCAAAATCGAATAAAAATTGTGACCTGTAGTGTCCACAAACAAATTGTGGACGGACGTCCGGACGCTGAACGATCCTTTTCCACATTGAGACGGCCAAAGACCTATACAAGGTCAACGATGAACCAAGATCGAATAGATCGGTTGACAATGCTCGCATTACATAGAGATATAACTTTTGACCCCGAAGTCAAAATTTTGTTCTCCGAGACTGGTTGTTGATGTGACAATGTTTATCTTAACCAAAGAGAAGCTGGTGTGCTAAAGGCAAATTCATATCTCATGTCTACTCCTGAATTCAAGATATCCTGTCTGTGTCGTCCCTAGTTCATACTTTCTTAATATAATATCATCCTCGGTGTTTAGGGCAAAACTGTTAGAACCTGTGCCAATTTCAAACAATTTAATCTAAAAAAGATGTAATGTCCCATATCCTATCACATTCTAAAAGACATTAATTTACTGGATACTTAAATTCATTCAATATTCCGGATATGTTTTTAAACAAACTTATGCACCGTGGATGCCCCCACCCCGTTATTCACAGCTTCTAGATCCGCTACTGTGTCCTATAGTTCAAGTTGGACATGAATGTGGATCAATATTTAAATAATCGAGGCAAGATACTGGACCTATTACATGTTCATTTGGGACACATGTCTCTGTGCTTGGACTAAAAGGGCCTTCATGGAGTAGGCCTATGTGATCACCAGACTTATGCACGCGACTGAACTAAAACAATAATATATGACCACCAGGATATATCAACCATGAATTTCATCTAGTTCGAGCGTGAGAACACGTCACCAGCTATAGGTCTGCTATCTAAATTGTCCACGTATTGTTATAAGATAACATTTTAAGATGTCTCGGACATTCTTGTTGGTGCTTTTTCTAACAGGTATGTGGATATTGGTATTATAGAAAATGGAATTCTAAATGGATCAACTTGGAACTTTGCATATTTATTCCTTATACCGTAAAGACAGAAACTATTTATTTTGGTGCATGCCCTCCCCTCCTTCCACTGAGGCGGTGTGACACCCACTTTTATGTTAATATTTGGTGTGTAAATTTGCCAAAACAAACCTAACGCCTAGCATTCTTTGCCTCTTGTCATATTACAGTCATTTCATATTATATTCTCTTCATTTTAAAAAGTAGCATATCAATCAAAGCAGGAATGTGGGGGTATACTGCAGCAGTAGCGATGGCCTTGTTATATTTAATAGTGAGGAATTTAAATTGATATTTTTGGCATGTTTCTAAGGTAATAGCAAGTCCTTTGATAGCAAAGTAAAAGGGGATATATACAATTTGGGGTTCATGATGGATATGCCTTATCGATATAAAATTTTGACATCTTTTATTGAGTCGGTCTGTCACACATTTTGTTCACACTTGGTCTGGGTGTTAGTTGAATGTCTTGATAGAGTTGGAAGATAAGCATTTTCTGCTTAGGGAAAGCAGAGATAGGCAATTTGATTGCTTAATACTTTGGGACGTGATAACTTTGGTTCGTATTAAGTGCGGGTGGTGAAACTTGGTGTATAAATTCATCACATCAATATGCGTAAGCAGAGTGATAAGCAATTTTGATCGCATGATAAGCAGTTTGGTTCTTATTAAGTAATAGTGGTAAAACTTCGTGTACCTTAAAGTTCGATGTTCAGCATTTCCTGCTTAGGCAACTTCAATCTGATTGGTCGATACTTTGAAACACAGTAGCTCTCCTTCTAAATGAGGTAGAATGTTCAAACTGTATGTAGGTGTCTATTAGGTGAATGCCTTGACATAGGTCAATCATGCACATTTTCCACTAAAACCAAACAGAGATTGGCTTGTAGGGTTACCTTTTCGTTCATTCCCTGACTCATCCAGCTTCAGAGTGCTATACAGGAAACGTTCTTATTTTAATTTTATAAAATATTGGCGGGACTGTTCATTTTGGCAAAATCGGAAACCTTTAGAAATTCAGAATGTTTCAATTGTGTATTTTTAAGTTACCCCCAACCCTGACCCCCTTACATTCACATTCATGAAAAATGTTTCAGTTCACATGTCCCTATTGCTTCTCCTTGTCATTTTTCGTTATTAATTTGCAGGTTGCTCTGCTCAAAAAATCGACTTTACTAAAATTTGTAATTATGTCAACAGAGTGGATTGTGGTGGATTTCTGAAGAGTATTATCTGTGCCACAAATTCAAAAACATATGATACTGAGTAAGCAAACTATTTCTTGACAACCGGGTACAGTAGGCATAATTAGCAATAAACCATTTCATTTGGGTTTAAATTATAGTAAGCATTGCCATAGGAAATGATGGTATGTTTGAAAAAAGTATGTCTGGAAACCCCAAATAGGACCCGGGACGTACTTTTTAAAGGCAGGTAGTTTGCGAAGGAATCGATCGCTGAAAACTAGAATCACGAGTCAAGAAAATAAAATATTAAGTCTCGGGTTATTTAACAAATATAAAGAATCAGACTATGGCGAGTTAAAATGACTTAGGTAGAATCGCGAGTCCAGAAAATATAGGTTATTTCACAAATATATCATAAAGAATCAGACTTGGCGAGTCAAAATGCCATACAACCTTTACTTGATAACACTGTACACTTACCATTAAGAATATTATTTAATTTCAATAGATGCTCCTTTGCCAAGGCCCACTGTAATGATACTAATCTTCACATAGCTCACTATGGCGATTGTATCCCGGACAAGACCCCAATTGCTACTGTTCATGGTACAACAGCATCCTACTTGTTCTTCTGTAGAAACTTGAACCATTCTCATTGTGGAACTGATGTAGAAATAGTGTGTGGATCAGATGGAGTAACTTATAATAACCTGTAAGTATGTATACATGCCGAATCATAAGATAACCTGGTCATAGTAGAATTATTAGATAAAATAGTCATATTATAACAGGAATCCAAAAGGGATACGAATGACCGGATAAAAAACCACATCCCCTCCAAATTCTACACTCATATACTTATACCAACCAGAACGCCAAACATTCAGGGGACCCTTCGTCTTGTGGACCTCCCACTAAGACTCGCCCTCAAAGATATTACCCCCGCTCCCTTTTACTCGAGATGACAGATTTCGCCCTCGTTTAAGATTATGGTTATACATAATCCAATGTAGGCCCCAGTTTCACTTGTAAAATCCATGTTATTGGAAACAACTAGCCTGTTCACTTGAGAAAAGGTGTTTAAAAGCTGTGATTAGCCTTCCTGTGAGCACCGTAGCCGCGGAAGGAAAAATCCGACAATAAAAAAAAGCCATATCAATATTTAATTGGCATGCGCCTGGTCCCAAACTTAATTAATATTTTCGATGTACTCTTTATTATTTCAGATGTTTATTTGAGAAGGCAAGATGTAGTCAAAGGGATTTAATTGTTGCTAAATATGATGGATGTTAATTAGCAGTTTTAAATTCTTTTTGAACTTTTTCTCAAACAATAAAAAGTAAAAAACTCATTTTATTATATTTGATTGTTAATTTATCTTATTTGGCTTAATTTTTCTTTTGACAAATTAATTAGTACGATGAAAGCTGATGCAAACTCGACTTTTTTCCTTTTCACTTGAATGTTTATAGATCTTTTTTAGGTCGTGTGTATTAGTGATATGCAATAGCCCTATATGTGACAACCATTGACTACCCCATTGTCTGTCTTCATTAGCCCAGTCGGAGCAGAAAAGTGAGACGTTAAACCCTATTTCATTTCACTACCCCACTGACTGTAATATTAATTCTCGTCTCTCTGACCTGCTCTACATCATCTCTCAACTCTCCGTGTTTCGGGATAAGAGATGGTGCTATATAGTTTTACCTTGCAAATCCCGACGTGAAACACGTTGGGCCTCAGTAAGCAAAGTGTACAACATTTTTCTGTAAAACAACGATTGGTTATTGTTCTTCGTAACATTTCTTCCACATTCAACTACAATTAAGCATATAATCCTTCCTGACACAGGTACAAATCACGTCTTTTTAAATGGAAGTCGTGATAGCGTGGCTCTTCGGCATTTTAAATTTCATGTTATGAAAGCGGCGTGTCGTGTACGACAGCCAATCAAAGTACTAACCTGATTTGAGTTGCGCAGGAATAATACACAATAATTATGAATTTCCGTATCAATTTTGATTAAAACAAAATTTCATTTAATTTATTGACAAAATGTTTCGCTTAAACCGTAGTCGTTTCACTAATGTTTAATGAGTTCTAATAGTATAAAATTAACTTATTTTCAAGATGTTACATGCATTTATAATGAAATTAAGATTGCCAGGTGAAACTTAAGGCACCCAATCATAGCTAAAAACAAGCACATTAATATATCTCAACTTTCATTTAGGCGCACCACGGAAACCTAGAGACACCCAAATTGGAAGTAGCAGACTTATAAAGTTGTAACCAACCTCTGAATTATATTATCCTTCGATCTCATTATCAGGAATATACACCAAAACCCGACAGAACATGTAAAATAAACCCTTTTTACTTCACCAAAAAGTCCACAAAAATCGTCATGCAAAGGGCGAACAAAGAAATTGAAAGATAAATACTATAAATAGAAAGGATGTCAGTAGTGGTAAACAAACATACATGGCCTGTTGTAAACGTGATTAATTCATTCTCTTAGTTACGTTTTTATACCGGTTGTGATAGGGTAATTGTTTTTTTTTCTAATCTTGTATTTAAATATCTCGGGCGAGTTAAAGATGTATTATATAAGAGTTAACCCTGCCTATGTCAAGTTTTTCTTGTTTTACTAAAAATGTAAAAATAAATTAAAGTAGCTAAGTCTTTAGCTCAATACCATCCACAGTCTTCGACACTGAAAGCAATTTAAATCAACATTGATGTTGTGATCTTACCGGGAAACGTGGACTTCTTATAATTGATATCCAATATTTAAGACAAAATAAATATCTTACCATTGGTACACAAATCATGTACCAGAATGCGCTTCAAGGACTCGGAGAACGGGGCTCTATTTATATATTTCTATGGGCTAGACCATAGATATCCTATAAAGACTAGATAGGCCACAAAGCCAAGTGCGCATCATCAGTAACGTCACAACGCGCCGCCATCTTGAAAGTTGTAGTCTATGTAAACAGGAAGTACTAAGTATAGGGGCATAAGCGTTAGATTTCATGTATTTTGTTTTTTCGCAATGGCTTCAAAAGGACCCCAATGCTATGCAATAAATTGTACCACGTACAAGAATCCACAGAGCCGAGCGGAAGGCGTCACATTTCACAAGTAAGTGTATTATAAGTTATTATTAGCCGACACGGCGACAGAGTATTTCATTGAAGTTGAAGTTTGAAGGAGGACCTCATCATCACACAAACCTGCGGATACACTACAGAGACGTTTATAAAAAAAAAATAAACAATAGGCCTATATCAAGAGAATGGATCCCGGGGCAAGCCGTAATTTAAGCGTCCACTGTGCTGTACAGTCCCGGTACTGTAATGATACAGCAAATTAGGCTTCTCTCAAAATGACACAAACTCACAATAAACAAAAGCTGACCGCCAGACGATCAATGATTGATCATGGCTTTCAGTCAGACTTGGATTTTCTTCTTTTTTTTTGTACCAGCAATAATCGAAAATCCTCCATTTTTAGTATAAATGACTCATATAATGATCTGACCATCGCATTTTTTAATAAATAATGAAACAGTAAAGAATTGAGGATCTTGACAGCTGTCGCCGAAGGTGAAATTAATTTTCTTTTTTAATTGAATTGTCAGGTTTCCAAGTGCTGAAAAAAATCCAGATCTTTTGCGTGTATGGATTCGCAACTGTAAGAGGATGAAACAACCGTCTAAATACAGCCTTGTGTGCAGTAAGCATTTTGAAGATGCTTGTTTTGACCGAACAGGCCAAATAACTCGCCTGAGAGAAGGAGTAGCCCCCACTATTTTCAATCTGCCTCCTCATTTACAGGTATGACTTTGCTGAAATTGGCGCCTCACTCTCTAGATGTTTTATTCCGTGGGTATTATCTGTCATTGTCGATGTGATATTATTTTATTCGCTTTTTATACGCCCACATTTTCAAGTGGACGAATATTGTCGTTGCCCCTGTCCGTCCGTCCACAATTTTTTGGTGGACTCTCTACAGTTCACAATTCTTGTCCGATTTTGACGAAACTTGAAATGTTGGTTTATCCCAGTCCCAAAAGATCTCGACTGTTTTCGATATTGGCATGTAATGTTGTAATTGATTCACTAATGCATGACTTGTTGAATAAGTAATTCATGCCCCTAGATGATTAAATTCCTTACAGTGTATTTCTAGTTTCTATCATATTTTGTGATCAATAAATAAATCATTATTTTACTCTTTTAGCTCAAAACGTCCAAAGTAAGGAGTACCCTGAATTCATGCAATGAAAAGCTTGAAGGAATTGAATCATCTGCTGTTGACCCAAATGATGTAGAGTACTTAGATAAAATTGTAATAAATCAGGTAATTTCCATCTTTCTCTTAAAGGGACAATAACACTCTTGCTGGCTTGAAAGCTCCAGAAAATAAATAATATCTCTATCTAAGTACTAGATGTTTAAGTGTCCTACCTGTTGTCTAAATTATCCATTACATCCTATTTTAATAGTCCAGAGGGTTCGAAAATATTTTTAAATCGGAAGTTTCATAAAAGGTTTACGTTCGACGTTTCAAACCATTATGTTGAATTTTTCAAAATTTTTAAATTAGGTGTGTTAAGATTAAATTTGTATCATCAATTAATTGAAATATTGTAAAATAGTACAATTTGTTGACCAGAATAAAGATTGGGGCATATTATTCAGTTACAACAAGAGTGGTATTGAGCCTTTAATGGTTGTGACCAAGAATTAGATGTATGTTATTCATTGTGATTGAATTGATAATCTGTAACATTAATTGTTTCCAGTGTTGTATATTTTAAATTATTCATTTAAACTATCTGCTTGATATTTACTCATAAAAAATGATGATATAAATTATTACATACATGAGATTTTATCACACATGCATAAGGTGAATTATGACCTAATGGTATTTATAGGGATTACACTTTTTGGATAAAGTAGGAATTCCGCTACTGAAAGTGGGTTTGTCCCATAATGGTATTTGAACCCACGTTCATTCCCAGAGTAAGGCCCAAATCATCAGCATAAATTCAATGTCAGTACTCTTCTGGCGAGTTAGCTTTAAGTGATAATGAATTGTGAAAATGTGCATTAAGTTATGCATTACATATATTTCATTACTGGATATTTGTATTAATAGTAACTTCTGTTTGTACATATATCTGTAGGATCATTCATATACCAGTTCCCCAATGAAATGGAAAAGGAAACTGCAGGAAGCGGAGGCAAAGCTTGAAACTGCCAGAAAGAAGTTACATAATTGCCAGAGACGAGAGCAAAGATCAAAACAAACTTGTCAAGTTCTGGTGCATGATCTATATGAAAAGAATATGATCAATATGGAATTACGCTCTAAGCTAGATTCATATGGAGGTATTTATTTTTGCACTTTGGAATAATATCTGTTTACTGAGTCTCAAAGTGTTAATATCACTGTTGTCTTGAGGTCTGTTGTTACCTACATGTACTATAGATCCTATTCAATTACTTCAAATGATAGTAAAACATTCAGTCCGACATTCATTTAAAAAAAACAAAACAACATAATCTATTCTTTAACCATATGATTTTTAATGGATTCATCGAATTTTGAGTATAATATTTTTAAATTCTAATCTAATAACAGAAATACCTAATTATGTTCTCAATTCTTATGCACAATATTTTATAATTATTTACTTTGGCAGATATCCCATGTGAGCTTTTCAAGAGACCGTCAAAGGATTACACTAGTGATCAAAGAGATTTTGCCTTGTCTTTACACTTGAGTTCTCCAAAGGCATATGATTACCTTCGTGAAACTGTCAAGATTTGTCTTCCGCACCCAAGATCTCTGAGACGGTAATTTTATTTGAAATTATATATCTGTGATTGTGAACAATTTCTTACCTTACTTTCTCCCTTTCTTGAATGATGGAGAACCTCACCAAATTTAGAATTTTTGGACCAGGAACTGGACCCCAAGCGCTAATCATCTTTTTCTTCTTGTTGTTCTTATGGTGAAGCTCTTCGAAAAAGCCCAAGGCTCCATCAATTCAAGTCAAGTCTGATCGACATGAAAATAGCATGCTTGTTCTTCGAAAAATTACCTCATTGGTTGTCTCCGGGAACTCCAGCTTCCCCCCACTGCTAAAGACCCATACGGGCAAGCGAATTATTGAAATAAAATTAAACCATATGTTAGTCCCAAAATGACCTAGTTTGTGTCGAGTGGACGTTAAACTCTATTTCTCTCTCTCTCTTTGAACAATTCTGCATCGATTTAATGAATTAGATATGACGTCGCAATTCCAAGCTGGTGGTGATGACCTCATGCTCGGTTTCTGGTCCATATAGTACTATCATAGAAGTTTATTTATTTGTGTGTGTATGTTTTTGAAAATATGCTTTGTCTTTTTTAGTTGGATAGAAAGTGTGGATTCGGCACCAGGATTGAATGTTGCAATGCTGGAGGTACTTAGAAAAAAAAAAACACAGTCCCCAGATGAATATACAAGGTATGAGATAATTGTTCTTATGCACTAGGCCAAAAATAAAAATATTTTGTTTCTGGTAACCCGACCGACTCATAGTATAATTTTTCATATTGCCTGCATCATCTTTGAAAGCACACAACATAATTATTATGGATCTAGATATGAGTTTTTTTTTAAAAAATAACACCTACCTACCCTACCTATTTTCCATCCGTTACAGGAAATAGAACCCTTTTTTTTGGTCCTATATGTGTAAAACCATTCAATTTCCAGAAACTGTACCGAAACAAGTGATATTTGTTGGTCCACTATTTATTTTTTCAATATTGAGAGAATCCAGGAAAATGGACCTTTTTGGAGCAAGATTGTGAAAAATCTATTTATTTATTTAAAAGTAAAAGAGTATGTAGATATCTTATTTTTGAAACTAAACTCTGAGATATAACTATGGAATACAGTTACTTTGTTTATTTGTGTGTGACCTTTTGTAGAGTATTCTCAAGCAAGTTGTATGTTTAGCTCGGTATTTAGCAATATAATGATAACTTTTTACATTTTTTCAGTTGTTGCCTAATGATTGATGCTATGGCTATCCGTCGCCACATAGATTACAACTGGCATGATGGTACGTATAGTGGCTATGTAGATATGGGTCATGGTGCTGAAAATGGGGAAGCTAAAGAAGCTCTTGTCTTCATGTTAGTTGGACTGAGTGGTGGATGGAAAGCACCCATTGCTTACTTCTTCACCAAGGTCTTGACAGCTGAGACCCAGAAGCAACTGGTTCATCATACCATTGATAAACTGCATGAATTAGGCTTTCAGGTGCATGCATTAACTATGGATGGCCATGCCACCAATGTTTCCATGTGTACTTTGCTTGGTGCTAACTTTGATTTCACAGGAAATAATTTGCAAACATACATTACTACTGGTCTACCACACAAAACGTGCATAATTTTTGACGTCTGCCATATGATAAAACTTTTGAGAAACATGCTTCAGGCCTATGGTGCTTTAGTTACATCTGATGGTAAAGTTTCCTGGCAGTACCTGAGTTTGCTCAATACAGTGCAGGAAGAGGACGGTCTTAGATTGGGTAATAAGATATCATCTCGTCACATCATGTTTTTCAAGCAGAAAATGAAGGTGTCATTAGCTACACAGCTATTCTCTTCATCTGTTGCCAAGGCTCTACGTACCATGAAAGATATTGGTGATAGGAGGTTTGAGGATTGTCTTGCAACTGTAAAGTTTATTGAGGTAAATATATGTAGCTTTTATCCCAATCAGCCTAGATTTACAATAGTAAAGAAAACATATTTTAATTTTGTTTAGAGGATGACAATTAAATATCGAAATTTTTGTATCCATTATTTAGCGTATCGACAGACTGTTTGATATATTGAACAGTAGATCTCCCAGAGGTAAGGGCTACAAAAGCCCCATTAATGCTAGCAACTTGGCTGTTACTGAGTCATTTTTGAAAGATACAGAGGCATTTCTTCTGAACATCACAATGCTCGATGGCCAGCCCCTTTTGACAACTAAAAGGTAGCATAATGAGAGTTGGGCTTTGAAATGTTAGACAGTTAATGTTTCTGTATTAAATTTCTCAAGAGTTGTAATTTGTTTCTGTGCAGGAATGATTTTTTTCTTAAAGATGCATTATGCAAGAGCTAAATCTGCCTATTGCACGTTTTCTTTTGGCTTCAAATGTTATATAAATTATTATTTAGACATTTATTCACATGACATAATCAACCCTTTAGTGCATCGGATGCCCGAGATTAGAGCCATTTAAAAAAATTTAACATTAAAATGGATAGTCTAGATTGTCAAATATCGTTGCTAGGATAATAAACAATCTACGCTCTATCTTGTCAAAACTTCAAACACTTATAACTTAGCTCAGAATAAAGTAATTTGAAATTTTCAATATATTCATTTTTCATTAACTATTTATTTTAACTATTATAGCAAGAACGACCATCCCTTTATTTAAATCTTACATAATGCATCTTTAATTGTTTCTAATGTTTTATTAATTTCTATTTAAAGAATTATTTTTTGTTTAAGACTATTTTCCCATGAAATTTTGATATCACAGTTGTGTGGACATTTAGTCTGATAGGCAAAAAAATGTCTTTAAACTGATAGGTTGATTCTTTATCTGTAAATTTTACTGCCATACCAATTATTACTTGCCTTTAAATTTTTAAAAGACACAAATATCAAACATTATTATTATATGAAATGGATATTGCAGTAATTAGATTTGAATATTTAACCCATTAATTTTCACGTTGATGTATGTTTTAAAATCTATTTTCGTTGCATCTGGATTTGTTCTTCTAATTTATACATGTACTAAAATTATTCAACAGTCTTATTTTTTCTACGTCATGTATTATATTTTGTAATGGATTTGTACTAGATTAACTTTATTTTTTTCTCCCTAGGTCAATGTGTGGGAAAGGTTTAATTATTGCAATTGAATCTACATTGACCATAGCACACCAAGTTCTTGGTAATCAGAAATATCTGCTATGCTACAAATTAAGCCAGGACCACTTAGAATTGTTTTTCAATGCGATCCGGCGGGGTGGTAAGTAAAAAATTGTTGTAATTTTGCTTAAAGGGCATATGGGACCAATATGGAATTCTAATTTGTGTTTTTAATTTCGAATATTATGGATAATAAGTTAAAGGTTTAGCTCCTTTAAAATCAAGGTGCCACAACTCAATTTGTTCATCCAATATTTGATGTACATGTATGTTGTTATTTTTATCAACCAGATCTTGGATGAGGTTATCACCAAATCGGCCTTACAGGGATGTTTAGGACCATCCTATATTTGAAGATAATAATTGAGCTCGTGACTCGCTGTATGTGGCTTATCTTGCATTACATTTTGCTTGAAATTTCTTTCAGGTGGTTGGAATAACAATCCCTCTGCAAAAGTTTTTGAAAGCTCTTTCAAGAGAATCATTACCCATTGTGGTGCTTTGAAGGTGAGGAAAAAATTTTCAAGAGACAGCAATTGGAACTTGGTAGCTGTTGGTTTTCAAATCAATCTTGTTCAAAGTAAAAAATGTTCAGACATTTGTAATAGTGGTTTTGAATGCAGAAAATCTTTCCAGGTGTTTTGTCTCAGATTTAGTTAATATATTGCTACTTTCATCATGTAATTTTGAATGAACAAATTATTCACATGAATAGCAAAACATCATGGAGGTATTAAGAGGTATCAATCTAAATATAAGCACATCCATGCAGTGTGCTGAATACATATTGCCAATTTACAAAACATTTTTTTGTTTTGGGAGTAATTTTTGCCATACATATTTTTAGGTTTCCAAAGAAGGGAATTGTATCGCCCAGGATGACACAAGTCTTGTGCAAGCCAGTACATCGACTTACTTGCCACCAGATGCAGGGAAATCGGAAAATGATGATGATGGTAATGGTGAACTTGACTTGTATGAAGTAGAAGCAAGGAACCTCTTGGACCACAGCTACAGCAAAAACCAACTGTCTTTGGTTACCCTGAATATCATTGTGTACATTTCAGGGTGGATCATCCGTAAGCTTTCAACACAGTTGTCATGTCAAATCTGCAAAGATTCTTTGACTGGGTATCCCTCTGATAACTGTGGTGTCTTCCATCTTTTGAAGAACAAGCAAAATGGTGGACTGTTGACCCCATCACAAAGTCTAGTGTATGTAGTGATGTCTGCAGAAAAGCACTTAAGGAGGATGACAGATGTTTGTCGTGTGAACTCTTCATTAAACTTGTTGCGTCTTCAAACATGTGTTTTAACAGACTGTCTTGCTGTTGATTTATTTGACTCAAACCATGGCTATGAAACTCATGAAGGTGTTGAAAACCATAATTTGTCTTTAATTAGATCAGTTGTCTCAGTTTTCTTCAAACTAAGACAGCATCACATTGTAAAACTGCACAACCTCCACAAGCAATTTGATAACTGCAGACACACTTTAACAAAGTCCATTTTGTTTAAAGGACAATGAGCCTTTATTTTTTATATGGAAAGTAGAGGCACCCAATCTTACTAGAAAACTGGTGTATGTAGTAATGTCTGCAGAAAAGCACTTAAAGATTGGTTCCCGCGTACAAACTGGGTGATTTAATGGTATATATGGACTAAAAACATATTCAAACTAATTAATTTGTCATAATTATGCTTCAAATCCTTCTCAAACATTGTAATTACGAAGGAATGCCCTGCTATTAAAATTCGATCAAACCAGGTTATGTTAACGTCACGTCTTGGAAGTCAGAGGTGAATTCATTGAATACATAAGACGATGTTGTCTTTTATCGCTTACTATTATCGAATCCTAATTAAATTCTCGGATTATCCACTGTTCGCTTGTGACCTTTGACATCACGCATGCAGAAATTCTTAATCATCGGGCTGTTGATTAGGGGAACCCTTACATTTTTATCCTGTATACTCTCCATGAGTGTTTTTCGGGGAATCCAGTATTTTTCTAGTAAGATTGGATATCTCTACCTTCCATATATACCAAAATTGCCATACTTTTATTGGAAATAACCACCCTATAAATAATTTTCTGGGAACCCATCTTTAAGCAGGTTGACAGATGTTTGTCGTGTGAACTCTTCATTAAACTTGTTGCGGCCTCAAACATGTGTTTTAACAGACTGTCTTGCTGTTGATTTATTTGACTCAAACCATGGCTATGAAAATCATGAAGGTGTTGAAAACCATAACTTGTCTTTAATTAGATCAGTTGTCTCGGTTTTCTTCAAACTAAGACAGCATTGGCAACCTCCACAAGCAATTTGATAACTGCAGACACACTTTAACCAAGTCCATTTTCTTTAACTCTTAACTGACCCATGTGGACATTTATAACATTACCATTAAAGTACATATGTCGACTTTTGTCGACATTTCGGTTAGCCAAATGCAGCATTCATAGCTTAATGAGAGTTACTTCCCATATAAACAGACAACCTTCCTTGCTTTGTTTGCATCCTGTTTGACATGTTAAAACAGATATTTAAAAATCAGCACTTAACAGTGGTAAAAAAACAGATTTTAAGTTGAAATGAGAGTTGGTTTATTCATCATAACATTATGAGTTATAAGACCCTTTGTTACATGATTACATTAAATAATCCGGCGACGCCTTTATATATACAATGGTGGTGACATCGCAGGATTTTAAAATTTATAGGATTTACAATAAAAGATTGTTAAAACAAAAGTAGATTATTAAAGGAGCCAAGTCTCTAACTCAGTATTATCCATAATCTTCGACATAAGAGACACGAATTAGAATTTAATATTGGTCCATTTCATTCAATATTGATGTTATTATCTTGCCATGAACATAAGGGCTCCTGATATCCAATATTTAAGACACAATGAATGTTTTAAAATCAAAACACGAGTCGTGTACTCTAATGCTCTCAAGTGCCAGTTGTAATGAGGCGTATTGAGTAACGAGGCAAAGCATCAGTGCAGAAAAGAAATATCAAATCTTACTTGTGATGTAGACTGGACTTACCAGGCATGAGCGATTGGCATTCAATTTTCGACGAAAATAACTGATTAGAAGTTACAATTAAAATGTTGAAAATATGAATGTAAAGCAGTTTATATACACTCATATTACATTAATACGTGCTTTATGATCCATTTTAGGTGCCAAAGATTAGAGATTTAGCTTCTTTAAATTTATCCAAATTTAATGATTTACATGATTATTGGTAAAGATGCATTATTTAAGATTTATACAAAGAGCTGGCCATTCTCGCTATAATAGTTTAAAAATATATAATTTAAAATGAATATATTGAAAATTTCAGTCAAATTACTTTATTCAGGGCGCATTTATGAGCTTTGGAAATGTTGAGGAGAAATAGTATACTTGTAGTCTCGATTGTCGATCAATATATTCCCAAGATAATAAGCGAAGACTCGATTGTCCACCAACCGCTAAGGTGATATTATTATTTAATGGGTGCGGTGTTCTAATCTACATAAAGTCGGAGCCATCCTATGGTCTAGAGAGTTTATTATGGCCTTGTTATGTAAATGTCTAAATAGTAATTTATATTACATTTGAATCCAGAAAAAGACCTGCAATAGGCAGATTTAGCTCTTACATAATGCATCTTTAAATAAAAAATGATTAATCAAATTATATAAAAAATAATATTATATAAATTGTGTTTAAAAAAATGATTATCACAAATTTAAGTAATTTTATAGTTATTGAATCAATCCAGTATTGAAAAGTTCATTTCTGCTAAAAAAAAAAAAATAAAATCCTCCTTGATTTTTTTCTAAATTACTTCTTCTACCTCCTGGGTTCCAGAAAGTTTGGTTGTTGATTTTGTTTGAGTGACCTGTCTTCATTAGCCCAGTTGGAGCAGAGCAGTAGAACATTAAACCCCATTTTCATTTCATTTTGTTTGAGTGTTGATCAGGTTTTCTATTTCTATATTGATTGTAGTTGTATCGGGTGGGCTGTGAAGTTTTATTCTCCAATTTAACTTTGTGTTAAAAACAGTTACCAATATATTTATCCATGATCATCATTGAGACATTTTCACAGTATTTTATAGAACGGGCTGAGTAATTATATAGGCCCATTTATTATAAGAAGGTTGCACAAGCGTCAGTCTGACACTGTCTGTTGTTACCATGATTTTGATTACTGACCACAAAGCAGAATTATTTCATATGATCGAGAAAATGTATACAAATAATAAAACCCGATTCCAGTGTCACATTTCACCGCTGGTAACCGCCTGTACTAAGACACAAATATTATGAATCATCAACAGTACCACGGCCACTTTTCCTTGTTTACGTTAGGCCTACAATAGTCCAATACAATGACGAGTGTGGATCGAAGAAACTAAACCTCGGCTAGACCCCTTGGTTACGGCCAAATGATAGCTGTAAGGGGCTAAATTACAATTTAACGGCCTACACTAAGCCCGAGAACGCCCGTGGCATTGTAAATAAATGAACATGCGGTTATGTTATGCACTCGGTGTTTTGACAGACTACAACCAACGTAGCAACTTCCAATATGGCGACTCTATTCTACCGGAAGTCAGCAGCTAATAGCCTATCTAGTCTTTATAGGATATCTATGGGCTAGACATATTCCACACGTCATGTCAAACGGTGACGTCATATTCTTATCTGGTGTAGACTGGAATACCCAGACGCTAGAGATTGCCATTCCATTGAGACTTTTGGCGTATTTCGCCGAAGATACATTTTTTTATGCTTTGCGACACATGTGTGTCAATTTCTGGGTCCCAAATATTAGCGATCTAGCTGCTTTAATAATTAGTGCATATTTCGAATAAGTAAACTATTACTTACAATAAGAATTACGTAACGATACACTGTCATTAAGCTGCTTGGATACAAAATCATATTAATAGAAGAGAGATTAGGCCTCAGCAATTTCTTTAAATATTTTAATCCTAATAAATTCATCTTAACATCCAACCGTATCAATGTCAGCGTGCTTCTTAAGCCCCATTTACGTGCCTGTAATTTATTATTAAGATCTAATTATGGGCACATTCATTAGATAAGCAAACGTCGACCAAGTTCACTCGATTACAGTAAAAGTCTGGTTACTCATTCAAAATCACAACCTCGAAAATGAAACTAACTATAATGTATTGGCCGCGTGACAGCCAACAGCAAGGGTCTTGCTTATCTGTAGTTAAAATTGCAAGTAGGCGCTTGATTTCTCTCCCTAGACACCAAAAGTATTCTTCTAGTGTGCATTCTCGGGATTTAATCACGTGTGTTTGAAGCAAATTTGACTTGTGAATAAAAATGCATACAATGTTGAGGACCTTGTCTTCTTGTAGATGTTGTGTTGCATTAAATATTTTGTTATTCATTTGTATCTTATTTTGTGTAGGTTATGGTCGTTTTTGTTTGTAACTAAAGTAAGGTAAGCCTACATAGCCAAACCACAACACAGTTCTTAGTACCTAATTTGAATAATTTAAATATGTTGTTGTTCTACAATGCATCACAGTTCAACTGTTATTTTTCTTTTTATATCAACTTAAATCTACATGTCACTTCGGACTCGAAGTCCTCGACGTCTATATTTAGAGCAACTGCATCTTATGGTAACCACTCCATTGATGTTTGACGAAAATGAACGTATTCCACGGCCAACCGGACAGCAGAATAGTTTTCCATTAATGTTACTGGTAACACTACTATTTGCACAAGCTTCAGAGCCTTCCGTACACAGTACTAAAAATAAATGTTCAGAGGTTTAATAGCAATACCAAATGTCATCATGGATGACAATATGATGCCCTTGCAGTGTCTCAATACTTTTGGCCCCAGGATCTATTTACTTGATTTGATATACGTTTTGTGTTTGAAATGACTGTGTAATATAATCTGACCGCATGCTTTCAAATACAACTCAAAATGAATAGCCCGTTACGTCACCTTTGGACCACGCATAAAGAGCACTTTTCAAAAAGGAGGATTGGTATGTCCCCAATCTTGCGGCGCATATTATAACTATTTATCGATACTCAGGCAACTATAGGTAATTTGACCAGTCTTTGTCTTATTTTCGGTGGGTTGGATGGCCGAATGGTAAGCGCGTGTGCGTTGTATCACAGGGACTGTCATTAAGTCAAGTAGCATGGTTTCGATTCCCCGGTTGTACGTGACAAGGATTAGGGTCGCCTGCCCAACCTCGTGGGTTTTCTCCAGGTCCTCCAGTTTCCTCGCACTGCTAAAGACCCCGTCGCGCAAGCGAGTTACTGAAATGAAATTGAACCATATATAACCTAGTTTGTGTCAGACTGGACGTTTAAACCCATTCCCCCCTCTCTCTCTTTTGTCTTACTTTTATAGATCTAGAGGGGCCGGGGAATTAAATCTTCTGTAAAATTTCTATAACGATTTACATCTCAAACAAGTCAATTATTGACGTGACCTGCCAATCCAAGCCCGTAAAAAGAGACTAGTTTTCTTACCAACGACATGCAATAATTATGAAATGATCTACCTGTATAATTGCGATCTGATCTTGATGATAAAGGCATGGATCGTGGTATGATAAAGTCAGAAAATAAAACAAAACAAAGTATTATAAGTAACAACCGTATACAGCCTAAGATTTTACAATCAGAAATATCCTTCTTTCGTAACGACCTAACAAGACCAGAAATACATTTTCTATTGGTTATTCTTAACCTTTCTGCAAAATAACAAGCTTCTTATAAGTTAGGTTGAAATGGTAAAGTTGCCAAGCCAAACTGAAATGACGGAAGACAGACTTAGAAACTTACTAGTTTTCCTTTGTGTACTTGTCATTACCAGAACAGCGGTCAGCACCCCAACAAACAACGAAGAAAGATTTCTCATAATTATAGGTAGAATAGATTAAAATGCTGAAAAGAGTGAAATTAAAAAATTATATATATATATAAATTAATTATTAGTTTTCAGATGTCTGGCGGAAATAATAACTTAAACATTTATACCACTGGGTTATGCGATCACTTGTTTCAGAATAGTTTTTTTTAAAGACACAACGCTCTAGATTGTTGGCGTTGGTTGTAAACGCCCATTATATGCACTAACTAAATGTACAGTGGAACATTATCTGATTTAAATTGACGACCAGCATTAACTTGATTTACACCAGAAACATGTTACAGCAATGAAACACAATCCTAAGTCTATAATACAAATGGCACTGAGGCCCATCCATGGCAAGATCCATAAGGTGTGATTTCGGAATCTTAACTCACAGTCTCTCTTCTAAAACGTATGCATCAAGTTGTATGCATATCGAGTTGTAACTATTCGATATAAAGAGGGGTTAGATACCAGATGGAATTAGTTAAAATGATTACACACATCGAGGTTTTTTGATAGGCGACAAGTTGAAGTAACCTTTATCATAAAATACTGTTCACAATATGTTCTTAAGCACACCACATGGCTTTTATGGAAAGGAAATAAGAAAGAAAAACAACAATCACCCCAGAACGTCATACATTCAAAATAGCCAGTACAACTACATACAGAACATAAAATGTTAAATAATTCAAAAATGTTCACATATAAAAACAAGTCCGATTTCTTGTGTTTATACACGATATGCTTATGTGTATAGAAACTGGCTGTTATATTCCAAGATTCGGTCCTTTTATTTATACGATGTTTAAATCCTGTTCAAAAGCGGAATTAGCAAGTGACGAATTCTTTATGGGTGCCAAATAGATTGATTTAACGCCACTTCGACAGACGTGATATCTCATACAATTATGTAAGAAGAATCCAGTTGTCCTAGAAATATGTAGTTAAAAGGACAGGCCAATGACAGTACGATGTTTTGCTTTTTCCGTTTAATGATTTTAACTGTTTTTCATAGATCACCGGTGGATAAAGTAAATCGTTCATAATATATTTTATTTGATCGGAGTTGTTTGCCGATAGAGAGAGAGTGAGTTTAACGTCCACTCGACACAAACTAGGTCATTTCGGGACCAACATATGGTTCAATTTTATTTCAATAATTCGCTTGCGCGTAGGGGTCTTTAGCCAGTGGTCACTATATATACACTTTACGGCAAGCTCACACGAATCTGATTAAAATTATTCAACAAATGACCATTTTAGTAGCAGACACCCGAAAACACTTTCAACTATTCAATTACAGCCTTAATCCAGTTGATAGGCCGCTGACGTCACAGGGACCACACATACTATATACACGATTATGGTCTTATTACTATCCATACACAACACCAGTTGACTAGTGTGTATTGACGGCTTAATGAACATATTTTACTGAACTAATCATAACCTGATTATAATTATTCCCGTGTAAGCTACAAATTGCTATAATTCAAGGCATTTTTTAAGAGCTGACCTTTCTCGTCTTGAATTGTAATAGATTACATATCTCTTTACTTCAATGATATTCGCAGCGCCGTCGATAACAATTTTACCACCATCTTCTTGTTACACGCAACACTCAACGAAAGATTACGGCACGAGCGGTTTGCGTGCAGACGTAGAGCATGGATGACATCCAACATTCATTCATATCCTCAACGAGGTAGCATAATACAATGACGCAAAGATCTAATACCTTTCCAAATAACAGTAAACACTCACTTCCAAATTTATTACGCCTTTATACAATGGATCAGACTATCAAGGAAGTTCCGTACTACTGTTGTTGTTGTTCTTAGTGTTTAACGTCCGCTTCCACCGAAGGTGATATCGCAGACAAGTAATATTTTTAAAAATTATTTTTATTATCTTAGAGCGCGCGCAGGGGTCTTTCCTGTGGGAGGTACCCGGAGTAACCCGACGCTCACAACAGGGATCAAAACCACAGCCGGAAGCCAGAGGTGACCGGACAGCTAGAGGTCGAAGCGCGGCACTCTAGACCATCCCAACCCCCCATTCCGTACTGCTCTTCCCTATACAATATATAGCCACACATGACAATCATTATCCTAATGGTAAAGTCCCTAACTATATATATAGATATCAATTAATAAAGAACATGAATCCACGTCTCACATAAAACTAAATATAGTTAAAATATATAAAATTAAAGACTGAAACATAAAAAAATATCAATATATACTTTTTCAAAGTAATAAGTACAAATCGACTTTAATCATAAAAATAGAGTTAACTCCCCTTGATTAACCTACTTCACATTAGAATTGACCCCTCTCCCAAAAACTACTAAATTATTTCAGGCACATACAAATTATGATCAAGGCAGTGTAAGGTAAGTAAAATGGAATGTTTTCCCTACAAATGAATATCATTGCCTATAACATACGACGTCGTGCCTTTGGATGCAACGCAATCAAAGTAAGCATAATGAGACAAGAGGTAACGCGGTTTAATTTAGGAATGTTGAACGTGAAATGCAAACTTTCCACACTACCCACGCCTCGATAGCTCGATCGTATCGAAAAGCCCCGTCTAAATACAAAATGTATACAAACGATTATAAAGATTAAATATCAACTCAACTCGAAAACCTGAGTTAAAAGGTTTTAAAAACATATAACCGTGTGTGCGAGGAGTGTTTCCGCGCACTGAACACATCAATTATCTACAGGCAAAACATTCCCGCATACAATACACGCATAAATGTAATATTAAACTAATAATAAATTAATCAGTCACAGATCTTTCTGTCGGAGACGCAATTCTTCTTCCTTTTCGATGTCTACGGGAGGTGTGTCAGAAGATGCCTTCTCCAGTTATATATACTCCCCAACCGCTCACATCTTGAGATTGGACACTTGATTATTCCAGGACTCCTTGTTGGTGATAAGGGTTGCGAAATCCGTCTTAAGCTTACTGCTACAATCAGAAGACAACTGGTTAATTCTCTTGTGACTTTCAAGATCATAGGCAAATTCAAATGGCAGACATAAGGCTACCTGGACCCCGGAACTGGTCTATACCGTTCACTGCAACTTGAAGCACGGTTGGGACTATGGGGTCTCTTTCCACTCATTTCAAATTCTGAATAAAAGGAAACGGAACAAAATAATATAATTTATTAAAACGGTCGATTGAAAAATTCAGAGTCTGACACCTTCAGAGTATAATCTCTGAAGCGAGCTGGTTGTCGAATAACCCAGGTCGTATAACCCTATTTCGTGTCGAAATAATTCAGATTCAAATTGAGCTCACTGGTCAGAATAAATGCTACTAGGTACACCGAACCTCCTAATCATAGTAAAGCTCTCATGTCGGGTATTCCTATTGCCTCTACCCATTTTGTGAAATAACCCTGCGTCACCACAATATACCCGTTTCCTAGATCGGTTTCTGGTAATGGACCCACAATATCCACTGCAATCCTTTCCATAGGATAACCACTGACCGAAGCAATGGCACAATGAACAGTGTTTTCTTGATAAAGCATCAACATTTGCGTCCAATTTGCCTGGACGATGGATGATTTCAAAGACATAGTCAGCTATAGCCTCCAACCACCTCGTCAGCAGGAAGTATACCACAGCAAACAACTCTTCCCCTGTTGTGCAGAAATTCCGCTGACAAACGATTTAAAACTTTACTCCTTCATCGTCAACCTAACTGAGAACCCCATCAATCCCAATCTCACTGGCATATCGGTATCGAGCAGAAATTTCTTATTCATATTAGGATAAAGGTGCGGACACCAAAGATTTCTTTATAGATTCGAAAGCCCGGTTACAATCGTCGGTCCAGTTGAATGCCGACTTCTTGTCAGTTAATCTGTTTAAGGGTTCAGCTATCTTAGCAAAATCGCGAACAAATCTCCTATATTAATTGCACAAACCAAGCAAACTCCTGACCTCTGTAATTTAAGACAAAGTCTTCCATTCTTGAACAAAGGAAATTTTTTCAGGATCCGTTTTAAGGTCATCACGATTAACTATGTAGCCCTAATATCCAACTTGACTGGAGAAAAGTTGAGATTTCCTTGGTTTCAGCTTCATAGTAAGTTAACCCATGTTTGTTAAACTGTGTGTTGGCATTTTAAAACCTGTTTATATCAAAAAGGCTTTACCATCTAGCTCGTCCCCATAGACAATTATAAAATTATTTCAAAACATCAATCTAGAAAATGGAATCATGCAATATATAAAATCAAATCTGAGGCTTTTTTGTCATAACACGCGATCAATCCATGATATGTTCGATTGCGTCCATATAATGTCTGACTGAATTGGTGTATAGTTTCATCACATCAATGCCTTGACTACGTTCGATAATGAACATTTTCGGTTGAGGGTAAGCAGAGCGATAAGCAATTTGATTGGTCGAGACTTTAAAACACAATAACTCTCCTTATAATTGAGCTAGAATGTTCAAAGGTGTTGTAGGCGTCCATTGGGTGAATGCCTTGATAAACATTGATTGGTTGATGCTTTTGGGCACGATAACTTTGGTTATGGTTATAATTAAGTGATAGCTATGAAACTCCGAGTATAGATTTATTATATCATTACATGTACCTTGATCATTTTCTGCTTAGTCTAGAAAATCGAATCATGCAATATATAAAATCAAATCTGAAGCTTTTTGTCATAACACGCGATTAATCCATATGTTCGAAGGGGTTCATAAATTGCGTCCATATAATGTCTGACTGGATTGCAAAAGTTAAACCAACGTATCCATTATTTATAACTTCCGTCACTATAAAGACATTTTTCGGCGACATTACCTGTGTTATTTGGCCTCAATATAAACGCATTAATTGAGCTTGCCACAAGGGTGGCTATTAAGAGTATACACCTTCCGGAAAAGAACTTTGTAATCGTGGTCTTCATCTAATAGAAATTGAGTGAAGACATTGATGGCTATCTAGTTTTATATGTTTAATTTTGTACAAATTTCTCATAGTCATGCTGCATGACTTTCGACATCTGTGAACGCTTGGTCGAAAACCTTTGAAATGTCCACGCTTTCTGGTGTACCATATATCAAGCACGTGTTATTAACTGACCAATATGCGTCTAGATGGAGGGTAATATCTGCAAGAAGTAATTATTTATTCAGCGTTTTGATCTCAGAAAGATGCCGTTAGAGCGATAAGGTATTTTTGTGATACGGTAAAATATTTTGAAAATTGGAATCCATTTTCTAATCCTCACATGATCTAATATGCGGACAAGGGTACAAGGCGATTGTCCACTGTATTTTGAGCCTCAAGGAGATAAACCGAATTCTTAGAATTTTATTTCGATTTAGTTTGGCGGTATTTTTTATGGACTTGGGCCAGAAGGTATAAATTAAGATAAAAACTAAACTCTTTCTAGCCCCATTTAAACTACTTGGTAGTGGAGCCGTGCGTCTGTCCGTCCGTCCGTCTACACTTTGTGGGACACAATAACCCTCCTAATTGAGCTAGAATGTTCAAACTTGGTGTAGGTGTTTGTTAGGTGAATGCCTTGATGGAATTCGAAGAAGAACATTTTCTGCTTAGGGTAAGAAGACATGAGAAATTTAATTGGTTGATGCTTTGGGACAAAATAACTTTAGTTCTGATTGAATGAGAGTGATCAAACATGGTGTATAGATTCATTTCACCAATACCTTGACTAAGTTCGATAAGGGTAAGCAGAGATAATCAATTTGATTGTTTGATGCTTTGGGACACGATGACTTTAGTTATAATTAACTGAGTGTAACGAAACTTGGTGTATAGGTTCATGACATCAGATAAACGTGCAATTAATTAATATGTGTCATCTAATTCATTCGGCGGGGGACATCAGCCTCACTGGTGGCTTGTGAAACATTCACAGGGTACTTGTTAATAAAACCGTAATAAATATAAGTAGACATCGGTTATCTTTTATTACACCATATTTTATCTAACTAGATTTTATGCGTATACATGCTTATATCATATCGCTAAGAGCCCATAATACATATGTATAAACAGTCCATTTATATTTACTATTCATAAATTACAGTCACTTGTAGTACACACTTTTATTGAGAAGGCTTACTAAGAACTCGAATCGTATCAAGACTGAAACTTGAGTAGATCAAAATCAATAAAGAAATCTAAACAACACAGAACAATAAAGAAAAGGTCAGTCATAATTTGGACATATAATTATTGGGAACTGATAAGTAAATCAGTTCAAAAGATAGCTTTTCAAAAACATTTAACAGAGAGTAAGTATGATGTGAAAGTTAATATATATTTAGATACAGTGAAGTAATCGGTAATTATGCAAATACAGCCCGTTGCATTTTTAATATATTCACGGGGCATTATGGAAGATTGGGTAAAGAGCCGACAGTTCTCGCTATAATAGTTAAAAAAGAGATAACATAAAGGCAATATTTTGCAGTTTCAGTCACACTACTTCATTCTGACACTGTACCCTTGATTGCCATTGCTACCTTTGTTACGATAATAAACAAAGATTTGATTATCCATTTTTACGGTAAATCACCAACCGCTGTTGAACCGCAGATCGGATTTAAATATGTTGAAAATCTAGACTATACGATAGCATCGAGAGTTGATTATGGCCGTGATAAGTTAATTAAAGTAGCCAAGTCTCGGACTCAATATCATCCAAAGTCTTCGACATTGAAAACACGAATTATTTGTCAATTTAATCACCATTGATGTTTTGATCTTACCGGGAACAGATGGGCTTCTGATATCTAATATTTAAGACAAAATAAACATTTTACCATTGGTACACGAATCGTGTACCATAATGCGTTTCAGCGCCTTTTGTAACAAGGGACTCGAAGAACGAGACTAAACATTTTCCCCAAATCCTGCCAAACGGTGACGCTATATTTTTATTTGAAGAGCCTGTGCAATAAATACTACTGGTGTAGACTGGAAAACCCAGACGCTAGAGACTGTCATTCCATTGAGACTTCTCGCGTTTTTCTCAGAACATACATTATTATATGCAATAAATACTACTAGTGTAGAATGGAATAACCAGACGCCAGAAACTGCCATTCCATTGGTACTTGAGTAAATTAGAGTAAAGACGACACGATTGAATGGAAATCAGTATATATACATTCATATTACATACTTATTATTTGTGTCAATTTCTAGGTCCCAAATATTAGCGATTTAGCTTCTTTAATGGGGGTTGGATGGCCGAATGGTTAGCGCGTGCGCGTTGTATCATAAGGTATGTCATTGAGTCAACTGGTGTGGTTTCGATTCCCCGGTTGTACGTGACAAGGCGTAGGGTCGCCTGTCCAACCTCATGGGTTTTCTCCGGCTCCTCCGGTTTCATCCCACTGCTAAAGACCCCTACGCGCACGCGAATGATCAAAATAAGATTGAACCATGTTAGTCCCGAAATGACCTAGTTTGTGTCGAGTGGACGTTAACCCCCATTCCTCTCGACTCCTTTAATGTCTAATTAACAATTTACATAACATTTAAGACCTAAATAAAGACCTGTAAATAATCACATTTAGCCTTGCATAATGTCTGTTTAAAACTATTTTGTCTTTCAGATGGAGACGTATATACTTGTCTTGGATTCTTTCATAAGTATCCTTCTGTTCGGACCATTAGCGTCGTCTTTCTGGAGAGGAACCTGGGGTTTAGCAGATTTGTATATATTTCCCGAGAATCAGCTTCTTAGCTTATGTGTGTCATTAGTTTGTGGACTCCTTATATATCTGACAGCTATAATTCTCCAAACACAGCTGACGTCATTAAATAAGAAGATGAATTCTCCTGTATTCTATATAGTTTCAAGGTTGTATTCGTATATCCTAGGGATTGCTATCATTAACTATTGGAGAGGTCTGTGGGGTTTGGTAGATTTGAGTGGGTTTACGCTGCGAAGTGCTGGAATAACAACGGCGATATCAACCATAGCATTGGTGCTTTGTAGAGGATCGTCGACCTCCTTAGGCCCTCCATTATTCACAATCACAGATATTGGACGAGATGAATATTTTAAAATCACAACCATATTTAAAACTAAGGTAAGTCGTTATACATTTCCAAACATGCTAGTTATTCTCAGGTTATTGTTTTCAGGTTTATGAGGGTGATCTATGAAACATGCATAAATAATGCGGTGTTGTTTTCTATGGGACCTAAAAAACAGATTGGTCCAACAAATTTACTTATTCAAGTTTACATTATAACGTACCGATTTGTCCACTAGCAGCGATTTTATCGGTGGTTTTCACGACTTATAGGCCAAGGGCAATAAATACTCATCGATAGGCACTCTTGAATGTGGACAGCACAATAAGCCGAACCATGCTGAAATTTTGGTAAAGATATTTTTAAAGCTGCCTAAAATCGTTTTGCGACACTGGATTTCGATAGATTTCCTGAAGACTAGCAGACCTAGGGCATTTGGAAAAAAAATGCATAACTCCAGAAAAGATCTTTTTCGGGCTGTGCGTTCCTCCTCAGACCAAACTGAACAACCCCAGCAAGTTTTACAAAACAAACTTTACCAGAGTTGTGGTCGGACGGAATGTCAGGGTGGTGACTATATACGTAAAAAACAAGACTTTTTTTTATCTTATCTCTATGTTGTTCAGAGCCACGTTAGCAGGTTATTATTATTACATTATAGTTATTTACGAAGTCCACTTACTATAGTCTCGCGTTTCTCCGGTGGTTCCTTAAACAATTGATCGTTATTGATAAAGCTTGTATCTATTTCAGCCCGGTCCATCTTTACGATTTTACATGGATAGTTGTTTCTCCGTTGTGTTCGTAACTGGATTTGCTATCACACAATGGAGAGGTCTGTGGACATTAATAGATTTACTTCTGGTTCCAGACGATGTTTTTCGGTCAGCTTGGTTATCTCTTGTAGCTGGAAATATTCTAGCAATCTTTCTTTTTGTGATACAATGGCCAGTCATGTGGTTAGCAGGAAAAATACGACGATTACCACAAACAAATGTTGAATTTATTGCGTTATTAGGCATTGAAGATTTAATGACTATCTGTGGTACGTTGGCATCGGTTTTGGTATGGCGTGGTTGCTGGTACTTATACGACCAATGCCTGATTGTGCATGATACTGAATTAAGTTTTTGGGTTTCACATGGTATCGCAATGGTGATTGGCATGGTTACTTTGCATTACCCAACATTAATGCTAAATGGGTTGTTTATGGATGGAGAAGTTATAAATAGCGGTGAAAAGACCTTCTTTGATACAAAATTTATTTCAAATTTTACACAATACAGCGTGGACGCAGTAAGTAACTTATTTAAAATATATCTTGATGAGATGTACAATATAGGATGACCGTATAAGCTATCTGTTTTAATGATCACTGATATTTATGAAGTTGCGGGGTTAGAGACTCACATTGTGCGTCGAGTTCTTGTATTCTTAAAAATAAGACGCCCCATCCCTGTATTCCAGTCTAGTCACCTGTGAATATAGGTACCGACGGAATGGTGTAATCAATTATACGATGTACTCTTTGTGAAGCATCATTTGGGACTCGTTGTAACCTTTAATATCCTGTGAGGGGCGGGGTAATATGCCTTACAACTAGTAATTCTCTTCCTATTATCTTCAATGTTAAAACCATGACATTGCTTGAACATCCCGATGGTCTTAATCCCCATAGCTACATAGAAGCAAACATAGCGCAACCACTTTAAAATATTGGAGATTTTTGACCGTTTTAATTTCTTGTTTCTAAGCCCGGTCGAAAGAATCTATACGCTGTGACGTCCCCCCCCCCCCCCCAATTCACGTCTGTTTACTTCAAGATCATTCCACAGAAAAATCATCTATATTCACCTTAACCTGAAAGAAAATTTAAATTAAAACACCTTCGTCGATTCTATACCAAATCGTCAAGAGCACTGGACTTGCAAGAATATCATGAGATCGGGAGAAACAGTTACTAGTCCGTATCCTAGGGACAGGGGGAGTAATTGTGCGCACTTTGAGTATAGCCTTTAGAGTTGTGGATAGAGCGCATTAATCATTGCATTACTATTGCTTTTTCAGTATAAAAAGAAATTAGAAAGAACACAAAGAAAACCAAGGGAGATAAATTTGGAAGAGGAGAAATTGTTGGTTACGGACAAGTTGATTTTACATAAGGATATGAATCATGACGCATCCTTGAACGATACTAATTTCTGAATCTGGGGACTCCCATTCTCTCTAGATCACCCGACGCCACTTGTCATTTAAGACGGATGTCTGCGTAGCTTATAACCCTTGCTGTGCTTTTATATTTCACAACTTGCCATTGATTTGGTTCGCGACAGAATATTCTTATCTGGATTCTGCACCGATGGAGAAGTTATCAATAGTGATTAAAGTGTTCTTTGGTACAAAAAGTATTACGAAAGTTATCGATTTAAATAATTTCAAATAATTACGCTCTATTATTATTTAAAAGGGCATTATGGGAGATTAGATAAAGAGTTGACAAGTCTCGCTGTAATAGTTAACAAGCCAACAGTGAGGCTGATGTCCCCCGTCGAAATTGCAAAATAAATAGATGACACATATTAATTAATCGCACATTTATTTTTTTCACTAAGTTTCATCACTCTCTATCAGATAGAATCAAGATTATCTTGTCCCAAACCATCGACAAATGAAATCGATTAGCTCTGCTTAGCTTCAGCTCGAAATGTTAATTATTGAACTCAGTCAAGACATTCACCTAATGAACATCTACATATACATCAAGTTTAAACATTCACCTAATAGACACCTATGCCAAGTTTGAACATTCTACCTCAATTAGAAGGAGAGTTATTGTGTTCCAAAGTTTCTACCAATCAAATTGCTTATCACTCTGCTTACCCTCAGCAAAAAATGTTCATTATCGAACTTAGTTAAGGTATTCATATAATAAATCTATACACCAAGTTTCATCAATCTCACTTAATTAGAACTAAAGTTATCGTGTCCCAAAGCATCAACCAATCAAATTGCTTATCTCTGCTTACCCTAAGCGGAAAATGCTCATCTTCGAACTCCATCAAGGCATTGACCTAATCAACACATACACCAAGTTTGAACATTCTAGCTCAATTAGGAAGAGAGTTATCGTGCCCCAAAGTATCAACCAATCAAATTGCTTATCTCTGCTTACCCTAAGCGGAAAATGCTCATCTTCGAACTCCATCAAGGCATTGACCTAATAAACACATACACCAAGTTTGAACATTCTAGCTCAATTAAAAGTTATCGTGTCCCAAAGCATCAACCAATCAAATTGCTTATCTCTGCTTACCCTAAGCGGAAAATGCTCATCTTCGAACTCCATCAAGGCATTGACCTAATCAACACATACACCAAGTTTGAACATTCTAGCCCAATTAGGAAGAGAGTTATCGTGTCCCAAAGCATCGACCAATCAAATTGCTTATCTCTGCTTACCCTAAGCGGAAAATGCTCATCTTCGAACTCCATCAAGGCATTGACCTAATAAACACATACACCAAGTTTGAACATTCTAGCTCAATTAGAAAGAGAGTTATTGTGTCCCAAAAAGTGTGACGGACAGACAGACAGACGGACGGACAGACAGACAGACGAACCCATTTTAATAGTCCCCTGCTTTCTTCGAAAGGCGGGGGACAAAAAAAGATAACGTAAATAGAATATGCGGAACATTTGAGTGAAATTGCTCTTTTCTCTACCGAGGTATTAGCTTTTGAATTTTAGGTTAGCCTCGAGAGAGAGAGAAATGGGGTTTAACGTCCACTCGACACAAACTAGGTCATTTCGGGACTAACATATGGTTTAATTTTATTTCAATATTTCGCTTGCGCGTAGGGGTCTTTAGCAGTGGGAGGAAACCGGAGGACCCGGAGAAAACCCACGAGGTTGGACAGGCGACCCTACTCCTTGCCACGTACAACCGGGGATTCGAAGGTTAGCCTCGATCATAATTTCTAAAATCGGTACGATAAAAAGACCAAGTCTCCATTATGACGTTAAATCATCTTTCACAAAATGTATTGCAATCCTCTGAATATCGCAGGCCAGCAATGGCATCGAGATTGATTATGGTCTGGATATGTTAATTAATGTCTAATTCATAATTTAGATAACATTTCAGGCCTTAAGAAAGACCTTTAATAGGCAGATTTAGCTCTTTCATAATGCATGTTTAAAACAAAACATTATACCTTTATATAAACCTTTAAACATTGGTTTATTTTGTTTTATTTCAATTGAAGTTGCACAGAAAATTAAAAACATTATACATTAACAACAAATGTATTATCAAAGAGAAAATGGTCCAAGAACAGAATCATATGGAATCCGTAATAATAGAGAGAGGTGTTTCACTTGGGTTTGGTTAGTACTCACGTCCGTATTCTGTGACGATATAATTGGATTTAAAACATTGGTTAATAGCCGCAGGTTAATTTCGTTTGAAGGAGCATAGAAAAGTTTAAATTATACATTAACAACGCCACATATTGTGAACATGTTATGAAACAATGGATACAAAGTCGAAGGCGGACATTTTTTTTATATAATCTGCACGTGTCAGAATGCCCCCACCCCTTATATACATGAACGTTTGGGTTAAGTATAAATGTGTTTTATTGCATGAGTGAATCGAAATCTTTGCATGCCCTTTATTTTGAATAGAATTGACAACCCCTTCACTGCAGTCTTCACGAGGAGGACGGGGATTTTTTCTTTTTTCTATTGAATTTGAATTGGCACATTGCGCACACCTACAAGCGCCACCCCAACCTGTATCGGCGACTGTCGTGTACCTTAACTGTATTTTATCGTTGTCAGAGGCGAAGGTGTATTGGACCAGTAGCTGATAGCGTATGTCTTGCCACCTTCGCTCCATTAACAAGGACAATAATTTTCTAGTAGAAGAACAGGTTATAATTAATTACAGCATTCTCATTCCAAAAATTAAAATTCTTCCAGGAAAATACCCTGCAATATAATCTTTCACGCTCTGTTTTTCCGCCCAGTCAAACAAAATCGAGTATGTGATGAGTTTTCTATGTGCAAAGATTAAGAACACAAATTATGAAATACTGACTGTCAAAGAGTTTACATTGAACGTAAAGTTTGTTGGGATCATGCGAACGACAAGGCACTGTTTCTTGTCAGGCCTTGCACTAGTGGTGGCAGGAAAACACGCTTGAAAATCCTAAGTTACTTTCTCTGCCAACATTGAGACGGATGGAATCCAGGACCTCTTCACTGAGGGACAATGCCTCCTGATTCCAGCACCAACCAGGCTAATGAAGACGGGCATACGTATGGAAGCCGATAAGTACACTTTGGCTTCTTCTTGCTTTCATGTTCAATAAGTGCAAAGCTACGAAGCTGCGACAAATGGTCCTGATCTCGATATGTCGCCGTTTTACTTCTCCGTGTGGTTCAGCGCGAAGACGGCAAGCAATAATCAGTACGAAACATCTTAACTTGGCCTTGTTCATTTCTTGCCTTTGCACTGTAAATTCATAGCAAAGCTAAAGCTCGCCCGCTACATTAGTATATTATTTTTCATTTGTTTTCATTTGCTTTCGTACTTAGTGAACGTCATGGCAAGAAGGGGTACTTATCCATACATAAGTAGACTATTTTATATAGAAATATACTAATAATAAGTGAATTAATTTCATACTGTTATTGCCGAGGGGGTGGGCCTAGGGACCCCACATGGACCCGCCACTGGTCAGAAGTAATAGTATGTACGACAGATCACACGATTTTACAAAATTAGGTCACAATTTTTATCCGCATACATCTTTTATCATAGTTCTACATTTATAAGAGGTAAGAGTATGACTCGATTGAACTGGCGTTGCGTAGTTCTATTTATCATTAATATGTTTTTATACGTATAAAAAATGTCAACATATTCCGATTGCAAATATTTCAAAATTAAAACAGCACTCGTATCATTGGGTATGTAATCATTACATTTGTATTGCAAATAATCTAAACGATAAACGTGTCGATAATATCGCAGATAAATATATCAACAATCATTTTATCACCGTGCGCAACTATTTCGTTTTACTTTGAGCTATTTAGAAGTGGGTGTATAAATCATATTTAGAAAATATTGTTGGAGACAAAGGGTTAAGAACAGTTTAAGTGGCAAACTACCCTCTCTGTGTTTTATACGACTCGGAAGAAGAACACTAGAAATGTTTACTGTAGGTCATGTATGTTAATTTATCTTTCCAAATGGAGACGTATATACTGGTCTTAGATTATTTTTTAAGTCTCTTATTATTCGGTCCTTTAGTGGCAGCTTTCTGGAGGGGAACTTGGGGTGTAGCAGATATATACATACTTCCTGATGACCAGGTACTAAGTTTATGTGTATCATTAGTTTGGGGACTTCTTGTATACCTGGCTGCGATGATTCTTCAAATACCGATGATGACATTAAATAAAAAGATGTGTTCTCCTGTATTCTATTTAGTTTCGAGGCTGCATTCTTATATTCTGAGCATTGCTATAGTGAATTATTGGAGAGGTCTTTGGGGTTTATTGGATATGACTGGAGCTACGTTCCTGAGTGCTGGATTAACTTTGGGTGTGTCGACTACATTTTTGATATTATGTAGGGGAATGTGTAATACAGTATCCCCACCCTTGTTAACTATCACAGACCTAGGACGAGAAGATTTTTTTAGAATCACTACAATATTTAAAACACAGGTAAGCAATCATTGTGTTTGCTTAAAGATATTAATTTATAGAATAATACTTCGTCATATTGAAATTTATTATCAGAGGATAGATATTGGAGATAACCAAGATTCGAGTTAACCCATTTCGCATATGACATATCTTGGTATTAGTGAAATCTAGCAAATATAAGATAATAATAGAAATTATCGTTTTCATTTCAGCCCGGTGCATCTTTAAGATTTTACATGGATAGTTGTTTCTCTGTTGTGTTTATTATAGGATTTGTCATAGCAGAATGGAGAGGTATGTGGACATTGATAGATTTACTTCTGGCACCAGACGATGCATTTCTGTCAGCTTGGTTATCTGTTGTAGCTGGAAACATTCTAACAATCTTTCTATTTACAATACAATGGCCAGTCATGTATTTGGCTAACAAACTACGACGATTAGAACAAACGACATTAACATATTTTACGCTTTTATTTATTGAAGATATTCTAAGTTTCATAGGATTTTTGGCATCGAATTTAGTATGGCGAGGGTTTTGGAATTTACAAGACCAGTGTCTGTTAGTCAGTAATACAGAACTTAGTAATTGGGTGTCACATAGTGTAGCCGTCGTCATTCTAATGGTGGTGTTACATTATAATATGGTTATGCAAGCCGGTCTGTCCACAGATGGCGATATTATAAACAGCGAAGATACATTTTTTGAGACCAAATTTATAACAAATTTTATCCAAC